AGAAAAACAATGCAGTAAGCCGCCCCGAGCTGAATATTGGATGGGGCGGGATATAAATCCCAAAATAAATAAAAATAAATAAAGTCAAGCTGGAGCAAAAGCCCAATGTGGAAAACCTATATTTGTCTTATTTACCTTTCTGTAATGTTCCACAAATAAGAAGAAAATAGCAATCCCTCCATTCTCCTTATTTTCATCTCTGATAAGATGCATAAAATATATATTTCATTGTCAAATGGAGAGAAGTCAGTTATTAAGAATATAAACAAGTGATTTTTACTCTTGGCAGTAGAAAGTTTTGTAACAATCTTACATGAATATGAATGGCCATAGAATAAAGTTTGAGTCCAGTGGCACCTTTAAGATCAATGACGTTTAATTCTGGGTATAAGGTTTTGCGTGCATGCACATGAAAGCTTATACCCAGAATTAAACTTTGCTGGTCTTAAAGGTGCCACTGGACTCAAATTTTGTTCTGTTGCTTTAGACAACATAGCTGCCCACCTGAATGAATTGTGGTGTTTTGCTATGTAAATATTTGTGTGTTTTTATTTCTGTGGATTTCTGTGGTGTTTTATTATTATGTTTGTTGCGGTTTAAAATGCAGGCCTTTAAGATAAGAAAGGAGGTTGGATGGGTGAATTAAGTGTGTGATGATTGGATAGTTGCTTTGCTCTAGGGGGCGGAGTTGACTGCGTTTGTTCAGAAGGTTTGTGTGTGAGAGAGTAAAAATAGTTGAATGAGTGAAAAGATTGAGTGAAGTGCGGTAGAGAGTGAGAAAAATCTGTGTTATTTGTGTGGAAGAAGAAGAAAAAGAAGTGATTGGATTTATACCCCGCCCTTCACTACCCAAAGGTGTCTCAGAGCGGCTTACAAACCCCTTCCCCTCCCCAAAACAGACACCCTGTGAGGTAGGTGGGGCTGAGAGAGCTCTGACAGAAACTGCTCTTTTTCAAGAACAGCTCATCAGAACTATGGCTTGCCCAAGGTCATCCAGCCAGGTGCAAGTGGAGGAGTGGGGAATCAAACCCGGTTTTCCCAGATTAGAGTCCATGCACTTAACCACTAAGTGGTAAGTGAATAACAATGGATGGCAGATCAGAATCTCCCTGGACGAGAGCAAACCGGTTTTACAGAGAATCAATCCACTCTTGACCATTGCACCACTCTAGCTTTTCTAGCTGAAAAGTACTCTCGTCATCTGCGCAGTAAACTTTATGTAGCTTTTGTGGATCTCCGTAAAGCTTTCGACTCTGTCAATAGATCTCTATTGTGGGACAAACTTCTCAAATTAGGGATTGACAAGCGCCTTTTATTTCTGATTCGGAAGCTGCATACGGCCAATTTTTGTCAAGTGAGGTTTGACAATAAAGGCTCCCTCACCAAGGAAATAAGTGTTTCTTTTTTTAAAAATAAAGGTTTTATTGGCTCCCCTAAAAAGGGGAGGTATTTCGCTTAAAAGAAAAAAAGGGAGGGGTAGACAGTGGGAGAAAGAGAAAGCTGAGTGATATATAAACTGGTAAATTAAACTGTTAGTAATGTCCAATTAATCTTCTTGGGCTTCTTCTGTGTGTTGCCAAACTTCTTTTCTTAGTCCTGTTACATGTATTCTCTGTTAGTATGTTAGTAATGTTCCTTTGAATTCTGTTAGTAAAAAGGGTCTCTTCTGTGCACATCCAGAACCGCTTCTTTGCGTGCTGGGTACTTTTACTATCGCTGACGTGGAGGAGCTTCCTCTGTTGTCTTCTCCTTCCGGCTTGTTAGATCCTCCTTCGGGTTGTTGTTAATACGCTCAGTTCATGTACTATAAATCCTCTTCCTTTCATGCCCCGGAGGTCCCCATTTTCGAGAATGGTATCAATTTCATTTTCGCTTTTATATTCGCTCCCAGACTCTCTATGGGTCCTCCTCGCAATTGTTGACTTATAAGCGCTTATCAGGCACTTCTCGCTGTCACAATTCCAACTTATCTTTTTTGCAAAACTCCCGTCGGATTCACAGCCATAAACAGTCCAAACATTCAACAGCCGGCTCTTACACACAAACAAACGTCCAGACGGAAGTCCCTCCCTCCTTCTCCGCTCGCTTTTGCCCAGCTCCGACATCTTTTCTTTTTTGTTTACTTTTAGAAAGTTCTTAAAATGTGCTCCAGAGAGACAAGCTTCTCGCTTTCAAATACATCAAAGGAAAACATCACTGTCCGCTCAATTCATCCCCCCCCCTCCTTTTCTTTTTCGCTTGTATAGATGGAGGATTAACCTCTTCGCCTTTTTCGCTGGGAGGGGGGGGAAAACAATTTTCAGTTCTTTTTCTCTGCATTTTGACAACTCACAGTTAAGCCGATCTTTTCTTTTTCTTTTCCACTTTTGCGGATGGTCGCTTTATCACTCGGTGACGTCTGGTGGCTCCGCTAAACCCCGTTCGGGGTCGCTCACGCAGCAAGGTCCATTGGGGCAGGGCATGGCGGGAGCCTCGCTCTCCGACCTCTCGGCCGAAAGAGCGACTCATAGGGGTATTTTTAACCCGATTAGAATGTTTGTCTGTTTTCTAGACCACTGATTGTAATTAATATATTTGCTAATTGGTCAGTTCTGTTGTACTGTGAGTCATGGTGATGGAAGGGGGAAGCAGAGAGACAGGGGGATGGAAACTACTAACATCATTTTGGGTGCCAGCCTTGGGCTGGGGATCCCACTACTCTGGGGCAGAGGAAGGTGTGGTGGTGGGAAACGGTTATGGCACGGAAAGAGATGGAGATACGGATATCTTCAGTCTCTTTCCAACCTTCATCCCATCCCGAGACACGTTGGTGTATAGGCTAGAACATTAAACTTCGCTTGGACACTGATGTTGTGTAATGCCAGATCCATAAACAATAAGACCAGAACACTGCAAGATTATGTTTCAGCGCAAAATGTGAATCTGGCTTGTGTGACTGAGACCTGGGTTAGGGAGGGCGAAACCGTTGCCTTGAAAGACCCCCCCCCCCGGGTTTTCAGTCCTCCATCAGTCTTGAACTTGGAGGTGGGGGGGGGTGAGGTGGCATTACTCCCCCAGGAGGCTTTCTCCTTCAAACCACTCCCCATGTCAAAGATCACCGGTATTGATTGTGTTGGTCTGGTGTGGAACACTGAGGAGAGTCTGTCTGGTGTACTGACCATCTAGCACACCACAATCTTGCAGGTGGTCAAGAGGAGAATGTGGAATATAGAGGCACAGATCATTAATGCCGGTAGTCTTGGGGTCTGCTCTCCCTATTCATTACCCCTCCTTCCCCTTCATACATCCATGGTACCTTATATTGCTAATCTGACAATCCCAGTTTTTAGGAGGGTTTTTATGCTTGCAAGGTTCAACCTTTTCCCTTCAGTAGTGGTCTCAGGTAGATACAGGGGTGTCCCGTATAAGGATAGACTCTGCAACTGTAATCTTGGGGAACCCGATTCTGTTACCCACATTCTTTTTCGCTGTCCTAAATATTCCGCTATGCGCAATATCCTGATTCGTCCTCTCTTCCCTATGCAGAGAGACTTTCTGGATAGGGACTTATCTTTTTTCCTAGCAGACAAGAGTCCAGCAACAACACTATCTGTCGCAGAATTTTTGACCTATGTATGGAAGTCACGAGTAATACTTTGTAAATCTTGTAAACCATGTTAGGACTGTTTTGTGTTTTTTGAGATATTGGGAATTTTGATTGATGTTGTTCTTTGTACCTACCCTTAAACTCTCCCCTGTTTGATTTATCTGTGGTATGCCAAATAAAGGTTCTCTGTTCTGAATAACAATAAGAATTATTGGCTAGGTTTGTTTAGGGAACTTTAGAGGAAAGAGGAGCCTGCACCTATCTTGCAAACGAGAAGTTACTAGTATAAAGGAAACCATTATGCTTTTGTACCACACTGAAACCATTAAGTGTTTATATTTCTAAATAACTCTCTGGCTGTGATCGCATACACTAAATAATGCACTTTCAATCTACTTTCAGTCCACTTTCCAACTGGATTCTGCCAGTTCACACAGTAAAATCCAGTTGGAAAGTGCATTGAAGGTGGATTTGAAGGTGGATTGAAAGTCCATTATTTAGTGTATATGATCACAGCCTCTGTTTCTAAATAAAAACAGCTGTTCTATTGAGAATAAAGGTTTCCCTTTTACCTCACAGCTATTCCCACACACTGACCATTCTGTCATTCTACCAAATATAACTAAGCCATCCTGTACTTTGAGTTAAACCAAGGGGTCTAAGGCAAGTCCCTTTGGCAGTGAAAATCATTAGGGAACATGAAGGAAGTTGAGAAGGCAACATAATACAGGTCATTTCAGAGCCTTACAGAGAGGTGCTGTTACAGGTGTTACAATATAGAAGTGTTCTCATAAGGGGACAAAACGTTACATGTTCTCGATAGTTTTAATGTTTCTTGATTTTAATGATCTATAATCTTCTGTGATTTTTGTAATCTTATGGTTAAACAGTAAATTACTATGATAACATTTTGTAGCTCAAGAAACGTCTTGCTAATCTACCTTCATAGCACTTAAATTATCAGTTTGTGGCCTAAAACTAAAAAAAAAAAGTTTTGTAAAGGTTCCTTACTCCTAGTCACCTGGAGGCAGTTTGTATTCCCCACAGATGAGCAGGTATTCTAAAACCTTGTCTTCATATCATGTATGACCTTTGAAATCATTTACCGTAATCCGAGAAAGTTTTAGTGAGCCCAAATCACCACCTAGGGTACAGCACCATCTTGGTCTAATATAAAAAAAGCATCTTTAGCTATCTACTTATAAAGAGCTTTTAGTCGCCATGGCTTTGCAGATGGATTGTTTTGCATTTTTAGCAAAATTTAGTCCATTTAAACGTGTCAGAGTTTTGTGTGCTTTGCGCTTTCTAAAAGTGAAGACTGCTGAAAGGGCCAGTTCCTCCAAATTCATTATATGTTGAAATCTTAACTGGTTTTTAAAAAACCAAAGTTAACTTTTTAAACTGTCAATCTTAGAAAGCAAAGGTAAAGAAACTGCTGCAATGAAAGCGGACCATCTGAGGGCCCGAAACATGAAGAGGTATATTAATCAGCTAACTGTAGCAAAAAAGCAGTGTGAAAAGCGAATCAGACTTCTGGGAGGTCCTGCTTATGACCAGCAAGAAGATGGCATCTTTGAAGATGGTGATGGTCCTCAGAGCCAGAAGGTAAAGCTGTGTGTATATAACAAATGGGGGAGGGGGGATATCTCAAGATCTCTCTTGCTATATGCACATTACCACAATACTGACCCTGTACCTCTAAGGGTATTTTTTAATATTATTAACAGCATTGTACTCCTTTTTTTTTCTTTCCCCTCAGTAATATTTATTTATTTAGAAGATTTCTATGCTGCCTCTCCAGGGAACCTGCCTGCGACAGTGTCCAAAATAAAACATGATAAAAATGTAAAACACCACCAGAATTGATAATTACAACCCAGCTTGAGCATAAAAACATTGAACAGCTGAATATGCTGTTTCTTGCACTACCCAGTCTAAAAGCAGACAGTTATAGCAATGATGTTAAAAGGTCACCTCTTAATTAAAAACCTGGGTAGAAAGACGTGCTTTGGTCTGGCACCTAAGTGAAAGTCATGTAGAAGAGAAGGGCGTTCCACAGGCAAGGGCCACTGCTGCAAAAGCCCCGTCTCTGCTCTGAAAGCCAGGGGCACTGAGAACACGGCTTTTGAGAAGGATCCCCAGTAACCCTTAGGCCTCAGCTGCTTTTCAAGAGGCATTGCTTTAGTTTCCAGGAGAGGATCTGGGAAAGAGCTAATGGCATGGCCTGTGAACAGATGTGACGTTACACTTTGTTGATTGCTATGGGAAGGAGTGTTGCTGCACTGGCTCCCATCTTACCAAAGGGTCATACAATGTGACTTTCCTAGTTTCCCCATTTTCTTTCCCCTGAACACATTGGAGGAAGAGTGTGATGCAGCAAAGATCAATAATAGGAAGAAAGCAAGAAGTTCCCAAATTTCAGTGTTCCCTCTAAGCTGAGTTAGTGTGAGCTAGCTCACAGTTTTTTAGCCTCCGGCTCCCACATTTTTGTCTTAGCTCAGGAAGGATGGCTCCAGAGCAAACTAATTTATGCAGTAACCAAATGGCTCGCTCACAACTTTAATGCCAGTAGCTCACAAAGTATAATTTTTGCTCACAAGACTCCACTGCTTAGAGGGAACTTTGTTCCCAGTGTGCTTTTTTCGTCTTTGTTTAGGCTATTTGTATTGTCATTGCTCCAGAACAAGTTGCCCAAGGTGATTTGTAATGATTCTATCACAAAGATTAAAAACTGTAGCAAAACAACAAAGTTCACATTATGCTTTGCAGTAGCTATTTTGTCTGTTGGTTTTTAGTATTGTTGATTCTTTTGAATTCTCTTAGAAAACTGACAAATTTTGTTCATACAAACATCCACGTGGTTAAAAATATGCAGTTGGTAGTTGTGGGGAAAGTGTGCTAAAAGTTTTCCCGCCTTCTACATAGAACAGCCTAAGAGGAAACCTCACTGGTGCATAATTTCTGGGCCTTGAGGTGTAACCATTTTTTAAAAAAATTCTGGAACAGGGAATATGTGTTGACCAAAATGATATAAGGTACTTGGAATTCGTAATATTTATTCATTGCTTTTATGAAAAATTCAGCACTTACTAAGAAAAACACACTTTCACAATTCAGAGAAGTGACCAGAAATCTATGACAGTGTAGTGATCTTTATCGTGGAGTGACATATTGAAACAGAAGGGCTTTCATGTTTTTATATGAGCTAGGTCAAAAAAATTTACGAGTTAGCTCTTAAATTGCTAGGCCTGTCCTCAAGTGGCTCCCTCAGTGTTTGGAGTAGTTCAGGGTTTTTTGTTTATTTGGGAGGGGGAGTTGTTTCCTGTGTTGACATTATGAAATACATTTGCTATTACAAATACTGAATTTCACTTCAAGTGCTTGTTTAATTGTCTAGTGTAATTGATGGTGACTTTGAACAAATTGGGGAGCTCGGCATTATATCTTGGGGGTAAAGAGAGGATTATGAAATCACTCAGTACCCTCTTAAGATATCAACTTGTAATTTCATTTAGGAAAGTATGTTAGAAATTACTCATTCCCCCCCCATACATCGTGTCCTGTCAACCAAAGTAAACAATGGCTCAATCAGTTGCTGTCCAAGTCCAGCAGTTCACAGTTAGAGAGTGGGTGCAGTGATAATGCGCTGAAGGTTTTTCGGTTCCACTTTCTTCTGTTGCTTGAGTTACTTTAGTCGGCAGTATAATGTTGTGGGGTTTTTTAAAAAAAATCAGTCTTATTGAATTACTGTAATGCTTCACTGTCATATAAGCCACCTTGAATATTGTTCAAAAATAAGGGTAGACATAGATTAGGGCTATTTTGGGGCAGGAACGCACTTGGGTTCGTTCTGCTCACAGTGGTGCTTTCTGCTGGCAGAAGGAGCCTTCTGTTGATGCCAGGAGGTGTTGGAAGAGCCTTTATTATCAGCGGAAGACTCCTTGTGCTGGGAGAAAACACTGTTGTTAGCAGCACAGGTGCTCATTTTTTTTATTTATGCAGACATGTCAGACATAGGGCCCAGGGGCCAGACCCTGCCCATCCAGGGCTCTTATCCGGCTCATTAGCAACTGGGGGAAACCAGTCCAAATGTGGACTGGAAGGGCCTGTAATAGGGTATTATACCCCCTGTTGAGGCCCCTCCCTTCCCCAAATGCAGGCCCTCCCCAGGGTCTTCCCCCAGAACTCCAGCAATTGCCCAACTCAGAGTTGGCAACCACCAGGGGCGTGGAGGACTAGTTTGGCCCTGAGCTCTGCTGAGGAGGGCTATGTACGGGTCACGGTCAGTGGTAAAATATCTCCTCCTGCTGGGCTTTTTCTACAAAAAGAGCTCTGACACAGATTAATGAATTGTTGTCACAGAATAGCTGGGGGGAGGTTGTAACCTAAAATAATGATTTCACTTTTATAAAACACCCACCCACACCCATATATGCTTCTTCCTCAGATTTCAAGGCAGCTGTTATCGTCTATGTAGTTATTTACTTCATGGATATCCCATCTTTCTCCCTAATGAAGACCCAAAGCATCTTACAGCATTCTCCTCTCTCCTTCTTCTCTGTTGCCAAGACCATCTAAGTATCCATTTAGCTTCAATGATGTTAGAGCGCTGGATGCTTACAGGCAATCCACTGGCCCAGTGCCTTTGCTTTATGGTTACAAGAAGTGTGTATGTGTTATGCAATATTGATTGCTTTTGTACATTTGCCTTCCATTGGCTTCTGTAGATATGTAGGGAGGTTCTGTGATACAGCGTTATGTCTAGAGAATCTACAGATAATCTAGAGAAATTTCTAGTGAGATTTGCTTTAAGGGAATCCTTTTCCTTTCTTAATTTCTGGAGATATCAAGGAACTCTTTTAAAAAAGATGTTTTCCCAGAAGGTTTTAATCTTTACTAGTCCAGGGCTGAACTGGCTTCCCTTCTCCCTGTTCTCATGCCTTTCACCAGATGGTTTCTGCTGTAACTGCAGATATGCATTATACAAGGCACACAAAGCACTGCAATATGTAAAATATTGAGGGACTTACAAGGACACAATTCCCTATATGCTTACTTACTGTCACCGTTGTATTATTATTTAGAATTCTGCATCATCTCTTTCTCACACGCACCCAATAAAGAATAGGTTCCTGTATGTGAAATAATAATGGGAGACCATGTTAGAATTGGCACTGGTTGAATACGCCTGAGAAGCGGGGACATGCCGTAACACAGTGGTCCAAATAACAGAAGACCTGTTCGTATTAGATCTTCCACAATGCTTCCTTGACAGACTGCTTGAGTAGCAGTGTCTATCATGGGACAGTCTTATGAATAGCATTGAGTAGCATCTTGCATCTTTATTTGGGAATAGATCCCAAGTGAATACAATAAGAATTGCTTCAAAGTATAAGCTGTGGTGGCTCAAGTGGTTAAGATGCTGAACTGCAGGCTGTGGAAGGTCGGTAGTTCAGCAGTTTGAGACCCGGGTGCCGCAAGACGGAGTGAGCTCCCATCTCTAGTTCCAGCTCCTGCCAACCTAGCAGTTCGAAAGCAAGACATTGCAAGTAGATAAATAGGTACCACTTCGGTGGGAAGGTAACAGCATGCCGTGCGCCTTGGTGTTTAGTCATGCCAGCCACATGGCCACGGAAACGTCTTCGGACAGCGCTGGCTCTTCAGCTTTGAAACGGAGATGAGCACCGCAACCCTAGAGTCGGATTTGACTGGCTTTCAAGCAAGGGAACCTTTACCTTTTCAATAAGATTTTACTTGCTGCTATTCTGTACGTATACGTTTTGGTTCAGAATAACTTGCATAGAATTGGGAAACAGAGCAGGCCACTATCAAAAGATTCTCCCAATTTCTTGTGAGACGTGGCAGAGCTCAAGGCATCTCTTGACTTCTTGACCCTGAGTTAGAAGCTGCCTGAAGCTTAAAGGGACACCGTAGCCACTAACAAGCTTTAAAATTAGATCTGCTCACTGGTCATTAGTTAATAGACATTCAAGTGGCAGGGTGCTTGATGGTGTCCCGATATAGCTGTCTGCTTTCAGTTCAATGCAGGACGTTGAACGTAGTGAAAATTAGAAACCTTCCAGTTTGAACACAACTTGAAAATATTCACAGTATTATGCAAAAGACACTCAAAGGCCAATTTGCTTGCATGTCTTTTTGGGAATTGCATTTATTGACCACCGCTCTCAACACTCACTTGGAATGCACTAGTCTTGCAAAAAACTTGTACTTGCAATCCTGACAAAAAAAAAAAGTTGCCTTTAATCATGGTGATTATTGACTAATAATTGCTTTGCTTAATAGATTTTGTTTGGACAAGAAAGACTGTGAGAATTATCAATGGGATAGCGCTCTTGTTCACCAGTCATTCAATAAAAGTCCAGTGAGAGCAGGCTGTATTCCAGTGAGTTCATATTTCTGACTAGTTTTTCTCACATATTATTCATATGCCCTTGGCTTTGACTTTTTCCTTTTGGGATTTAGGAACATCTAATTAGGATTAGAGGGATTAAGCTATTTTAAATAGAGGATGAAATGGATAGGAAACATGTTTAGTTTTGTTTAAGGTGGTTAGCAGCAACAGTGATTGGAAAACACTCCCCTCCCCCCCTTGTATGTCTCTTGATAAAGAGATAAAACCAAGCTGTTGGCAAGTTGGTATCTATTAGCATACTGCTTAGTTGGCTTGCTAGAAGCGATGTTGTTAAAGTGTTGAGATTTTAAAGAAAGATAAGTGTGTGGGGGGGGGGGGAGAACCAAGAGGCAGAAGGGCCGGGTTGTAGTGATGACAGGAAGGGCAAGGAACTGTGCTACAGCTAAACCCGTCGCTTTGTATTCCGCCCCCTCTATCTTTCAGGTTCAGGCATTCCTCAAGCTTGTTCAGGCATTTTTCAATAGTTCCAGTAATCTAGCAGGGCAGGGGGCTGTGGCTCAGTGCTAAAGTATCTGCTTGGCCTGCAGAAGGTCCCCAGTTCAGTCCCCAGCATCTAGTTAAAAGGCATAGGTTGTAGGTGATGTAAAAACCTGCAGCTGAGACCCCAGAGGGCCCCTGCCAGTAAGGCATCTTCATGTGTTCATGTATGTCCAAGGGCTGGAGCTGATATTTATCTTCTAAAAGAGAACTGACACAGGGAGGTCTGTTTCATAAACACTTTCTGCTGAAAGTTTCTGCCCTAGTGATTGGGAGAGGAATGAGATGAAAAGGTTTGCATGGTAGGAGCACCCCAACACAGTGATACCTCTCCCATCAGTATCCTCCGTGCTGGGGTCATTTCGTAGAAAAAGAGGTTCAGGAGCTCATTAGCATAACTCATTAGCATAACTTATTTGCATATGCCACACACCCTGACATCACTGGAAGTGTGTCAGAAGGCAACACCCACCGCTCAGGCTCCACTGGACTATTTTAGATTGCTAGCTATTGGGGGGAGGGGGGGATCGTGCAGATCTGTCCTCGCAGAGGAGGGAGAGCTTGTGCCTGAATAAAACTTGGTCTTAAATGTGCCACTGGACTGTTGTGGACCAGGGGGCTGGGGGGGGGCTCTGCAGCTTACCTGGCTGCTTCTTGCTCTGACTGAGGGCTGCTGGGAGCAGGGGGTGGGGCTTGTTGCATGTGCCCGCCCCCGGGCTCTTTACTGCCGGAGCTCTGCTCCTGTGCGCTCCTGCAGGAAATGACCCCTGCCTCCGTGTATCTAGCATTAAGGTGGTAATGGTGCCGGCAGTCCTCTGGAGTGCAGTGTCCGCAGCACCAAGCACCTACAACGCTTGTCATTGTTGTGAGTGTAGAGATATGCCTTTTTCCTACTAACAGTGGCATCAAGATGTAGTGGAATGTGGTTGGTTACATGATGTTACTATTACTAGGAAGGTGGCTGTTAAAGCAATAAGAGGGAGGCATGGAAGCGGCAACTGAGAGCGTAGCAGGCAATAATGAAGCAGCATCAAAGGTCCTCTCCCCCCCCCCCCAAACTGGTCCCCCCCCCCCCCCCCCCAATACACACTTAACTTCAGGCTGCTTGTCTGTCATTTTCCAGACCCTGTTACTTTTCAGTAATGGCTTCCACTTTGTAGAACAGGGTCTTGAGGAAAGCACTAGGCACTGAAAGGCTGTTTTATTTGCAAAGACTTTTAAACGGGGTTTGAGCTACAGGCGTTTTCTTTGGGGCCGGAGTGCTGTTATGAGTGGTTTTTAGTTTAGAATTGTGAGGTGCCTCGGGCTGCAGTGGAATGGTCGGGTCTACATATTTTAAATAGTTTTTCATAATCTTTTAATACTATTTTAAAGTTAGCTGTTTTGGTGGTGGGATTTTTGTACTGAACATTCAGAATATTTTTTTTTGTACTTTTTGATTGACCCAAACAGCTGGTCAATCAGCATTGTGCAACTATCACTTCTGAAACAAGGGAAAAGGTTCCTCAAGCCTAGTCCTAAGGAGAGGGCTGTGTATGTGTTACAGTTAAATGAGCCTGCTTCTGCAACAGGGTTGCCTTTGGCTTTCTGTGTGTCTGCTCAAATCTTATAACTGCTAAGCCAGAGGGGCCATCTGATTTCCTATCTTTGGCCCCTATTCGGAGAGCAGTGTGGTAGTATATTTGTTTCCTACTTTCCAGATGCAATACCTTCTTAACTGCTGACCAGGGTTGCCACAAATGTGGGGAATTTCCAACCTGGGTAGCCATCTTGGACAGGTCTCTAGAGAGGTGACCTAAAAATATTATAAATAAATTAACTTGTATCCAGAATCTTGAATTACATCTATGTTGATTGACCCCTTTTTGATCCACTTGTCAACAAGGCTGCCTGCTAATTCAACAAGGTTTAACAAGATTTGTAGTTTGTAGACCTCTTCAGGAAGTGCTGCAAGGCTTGCTTGCTTTTGAGGAGGGGTTGAATGGCAGGGAGGGAGCGATTTGGAAGTTGTTATTTTATTCTGATTTTAACTGAAAATATGTGTTTACTATTATTATAAGCCTCCTTGAACCACAAGGGAAGGTGGGGTATAAATGTTTTAATAGCATCAAACAACATAATAATAATAGTTCTTTTTTCTTCCCAGATTCTTCAATTTGAGGATATTTTGTGTAATCCATCCTATAGAGAGCACTTTCGAATTTATATGGAAAGAATGGATAAGAGGGCTCTGATCAGCCTCTGGGAATCTATAGAATACTTGAAAAATGCTAATAAGGTATGAGTACACCAAAATGATAAAAGCCTTGTTATTCGTAATCCATATTGTGTAGGATTAGTAAATCACTGGTGATTATTTATATCTTTTTTCATGCATCTCCCAAGTTGGCTTGGGTGTAGTATATAAAATGTCTACTAGCAGTTTTAGTCAGTTCTGTTGCCACAGCATGAAAAGGACAAAACCAGATTTCAAAATCAATTCCCCCTTCGACCAAAGGAGCAGAGCAATATAAGACGTTGAAAATGTAAGTGGTGGTAAAATAGATCTTCTGAATCATTGATACTTTTCCAAGTCGTCTGAGGCATAAGAGTTCATTTTATGGTGAAGCCAAATCGATATCCCTCTCTTAACAGACACAGTGAAATATTTTACAGTGAAATATTCAGACTGGGGTTCTACCTCAACAAGTCTTGAACAATAAAGCTCTCTGTTCAAGCTATGCTTTGTTGTTCTGTGGATGTCAGGAGTCAACAGGAGAAATTTGCTGGGGAAGAAAGTAGAGTGCAAAACCTACAGTGGGGATTAAAGAGGGTGCATCAGGATAGGAAAAAGAAACATTTGAATCTTATGCAGAGTAGGTAAAATGTGGAGACTTATATTAAACAGAAAATTAACAAAAATGATTTAAAAGTGTATTTAACAGAAGAATACCAAATATTTAGGATGGGGGGGGATTCTTCCTAATTATACATAGAGGCCAAAAGCAAGCCTGGTATCTGGTTGAAGTGGGGGGAAATGTAACACGTGGCTTTGAAAATAAGCAAGTCTACATTTTTATGAATGTTTAAGGCTTTGCTTGGAAGATAACTTATCATTGGAAATTGTTGTTGTAGCTTCTTACTATGTAGCCAGTCATTTAAGGCTTAGCTTTTAAAGTAAAGTGCTAGTATGTATCTCACCAAGTCTATCCAATTTACTCTTAAGATATGTTTTAGGCAGAGGCTTCTTGGTTCATCTTAATGCTAAAAAAAGAAATAAATCCCTTGAGAAAAGTCTGAATTATGTGCTGTGTGTGGAGTGCTCTTTATCCTGGGTTGAGATTCAGATTCTCTCCCTTTCTAGGCAGTCTACAGTGTGCACACGACACACGTTGATGGGTGTCTGACCATTCCAAAGCAATAATGACATAGAGTGGTCCATATTGATTTTTTTTAATGTTTCAAGCAGACCTGGTAATTCGCAATGAAAAATATTTAAATATGGCTGGATTATTTGTGCTGTAGTAATTTTGCATAGCTAAAGTCCCTTTTGGTTTTGGTTCACTGGCACATCCTGCTTTCAACTATTGGCTTTTTCTTTTCTTCAGAGAAGTGTGATAAACTAACCTACATTTCTATCTAGGATCTGTGTGAACAAAAAATGTTTAGTTGCAGTGTTGTTGAATAAGCAGGATTTCCCCACCACTTTTTTTTTTCTTCTCTTGCTTTTTAGGCAGAAATACCTCAGCTTGTGAGTCAAATCTATCAAGATTTCTTCGTAGAAAGCAGGGAAATTCCTGTGGAAAAGTCACTTTACAAAGAGATACAGCAGAGCCTTGTGGGTAACAAGGGCATCGAAGTGTTTTACAAAATTCAGACTGATGTCTATGAAACACTAAAGGACAGGTATTACCCCTCATTCATTGTCAGTGATTTATATGAGAGGTTGATCAAGAAAGAAGAGGAGAGGATTGCTATCCAGATAACATCTGATGATAAAGATGAAGTGGTGAGTTATGGCTACAGGTGGGCTGCTTTCTTTGGAATGAGAGCTCATCCGTGTTTTTTCATACTATCAAGCCTATAAGTTCTGAGATGGGTGATGCCCCTCTCTCTGACCCCACCCCCAGCTCATTTTGCAGTTGATCTTGGGGAAATCATGGTATTTGCCAACTCCTACCCCCCAAAAAAATAAACCCCAGCAACGTGTTCTGTTTTTTCCAGCTTAATTCTGAGTTTGGAATCTGAAGCCTCCCTTCCTCCTCCCTAAATTTCCCCACTGGCCCCAAACAGCAGGTACTGAGTATCTATGGGCCAGACCTGAGGCAGTAGCTGGGCAGGCTGTTGGCAGGTGGGGGGGTGCCTCTTCTTCCTTCTCCTGGCGCCTCTATACACCTTAGTAAGTGTAGTCCTCACGAAGCCTAGCATCTTATTGTCAGGCGTCTTGGGCACAAGACTTCCCTTCTGAGTGTGGTATCTTAGACACTGCCAGAACATCATCCAAGGCTTCGGGAAAGGAGGGGAAGGCTTGGAGGGACAGAGACAGAGAATCTCTCTTCTTTGCCTTGCTACTGACTGGGTAGTTGGCCATATGGCTGCCACAAACACACACACACACCCCAGGCCCAGCAGCTGCAGCATAACGACAGCTGGGAGGTGAAGAAGAAAAGGGAGTTCTTCTCTAGGGACTTGATCTGCACCAGAGGAGAATTTGCAGGAGGAGCGCTCACCTTCATAATTGAAAGCGAGTATTATAAGCTGCTGAAGTGTGTGTTTCCGAACACTGGAAGTAAGAATTCAGTGACGTTTCTAGTTTTGCTCTAGCTCTTATACTAGTTTGTAAAGAGTACGGAGCTAAAGAAAGAAAACTGTTTCAATTACAAACCTATGTCAGAAATGCACATCTATTTTTCAGTACTCTGGTAAAAAACTGGAAGAGAAGAGGGGTGTTTCATAATCCCGGTGTGTTCATTTTTGTTTGCATGTGCTGTAGAAAGACATATCATTAACAGTACCACCCCCCCCGGTCTCAATTTATCAATGTAAAATTAACATGAACTGAACTGAACTGATGCTTTTGCTTGCAATTGATACATGAAGTGGACAGTGAAGATATCTCCTGTTATACACATAGCAAGTCCAATGGCAAAATTTATAGATGGAATTGTTACAAAAAACTTTTCAAATAAAATTCTGCAGTGCTCTACACCGTGCCATCAAGTCACAGCCAATTTACGGTGACCCCGTCAGGTTTTCAAGGCCAGAGACCAACAGGGGTGCCCATTGGTTGTTGTAGATTTTCCAGGCTTCGACAACGTAGAGGTGCCATTGCCTGCCTCTGCACAGTGACCCATCCAAGTCCTAACCAAGCCATGCCTTTGGTGATATGCTTCAATAATCTGAAGATATTTTGGAAGTCATTTCTGCATTTGTAGCCCTCTTCCCATTAGCATAAATTAAGTGGGAGCCAGGTAATTTTCTTGAAGCTGTACCTTTATAGGGCAAATCAGACTGCACAAATTTCATTATACTGTGCTAAATTTTAGGTAACACTTGTTCAGACTCTCAAGAACTTTCATGTTTAGCAGCTAAATAGAAAATTCAAGAAAAAACATGTTATGTGATGTGGTGATAGAACAGATTGTCCTAGAAAAGGCTCTTCCTGCTTAGTCAATGAATAACCACATTTTCTTAAACTTGTTCTTTTGTAATATGTCTTGTTAAGTATTAAATATTGGATCTTATCTCATTAGGGATTTACTTGCTTTTTTGGGGGGGGGAGTATGGAATTACATAGGTCCAAAATATTCTGGGAATGGTAGGCCCACCACAATTTATCTTTCCTAGTATGTGCAGTGGAATAGTTTTATTACACAGTAAGAAGCAAGGGAAGCTTGTCTCTGTGTAAGTGAGTAGCTTGAGCAAAAAGGCATTAGTAGAGCCGTTCAATAGTTTTGTGTCGTTTTGATTAAACAAACATAGATTATACTAATGATATGAAAATTTCAGTTCTGGGGCACCTACAGTGCTATCCTAAGCAAAGCTGTGCCCTGCTCAACCCATGGGCCTCAAAGGATGCAGCTCTGTTTGGGATTGGACTGCCAGAGAGTATATTTTGTGGTCATAGGATATCTATGGAAAACTATTGTAACAGTGTTCATTAAGCTGGTTTATTTGAGCTGATCTTTATCTTTATTTATACCGTGTGTTAACAAACCAGGCAATCCTAGTAACTGTTTTAGACACAAGAATGCTATGTAACACTTACTAATCAATCCACCCATTCTAGAGTCAAATTTGTGATGACGTTCTTGATGAAGGCAGCTCAGGAATTAATGAGCAGGCAAGTTATGCTATGAATAAGCTACGCCAATTAAACGACAAACTTGAATATAAAAGACAAGCTCTATATTCCCTCTGCAGTTCACCGAAACCTGACAGAAAGGTAGGTGGCTTTATTATTGTTTATACCACTTCCATTACGAGATCGGGTTGTACAGCTGCCATGTCTCTCTGCTCAAGAGAGCTCGTACTGCTAAAGTAAAACTGGGGAGTGTCATTTCTGCCCATTGTACTCATTTGCCTCCAGATTGTTTTACAAATGCTGTTACTCATTCTTGGGTAGTATTTCCTCTTGATATCCCTGAAAATCTGGTATGAGCAAAAAAGGTTTAGCTTGCAGAGCTGCCCTGTATAATGCCTTAGACTGTGGATGAATGTATGATGCTGCCTTTCCTTGGCCTGTATGTATCCCATTTCCATTCATGAAAAGGGGAGAAGAGAACTCCAAGCCAAAAGAGTACAGGGATTTGAGAGTTGGCCCCTCGTAGCAAATCTGGCTGTGGGAACTTCTCTTTTGTCCCTGCCAAAAAGGATTGTAAACTTCTGTTTTCCCCAGCTGATGACTATCCATATAAAAGGTTGTTACTGGTTTCATTATTTCAAAGGTCCCTTGTAAAGAAAGCACAGTATTACGTTTCTAGGTTATTTCCAGAAATGGAAAGTTACTAGATCAGATGAAATTGTAACCATCCCAACCCTTGCAAAACATCTGGGGTGAAGTCCAACCCTAGTTGTACATTTCTGGTTGGAGAGGGCATGCATAGAGAAGTGGCTGCACACTTTTTTCTTCTTAGGGCATTATGACTTTAACATTAGTAACAGTGTCCCCAAAGCGCAGGCCCTGACCACTTACACTCTCCCTAGGAGGGTGGGGTAGAAGCAAAGGTGCAACTACACTACATCTGCTTTGCAGACTGAAGGAGCCATAAGCTATGGCTTAGTCTATTTCCCCAGCAGAAAAAAACACAAGGCAAGACGCAAGAGCTTGGTAATGAGAAGGATCAGATCCTCTTTTTATATGAGAGACAGCATCTCTGATATCAAGATCTGAGATCCCTCAGTGCCTTTGATTTTATGCAGCTGTGCCTTTTCCCTGATAACTGAATCGTCCAGCCCTCTCCCCAGCTGCTGTTAGCCCCAGAATGGGGGAAAAGATAGTGGGGCTGGTGAGGATATTTTAACTAATGCTAGTGTGCATGGGTGATGAGGGCTGAACCCTGTTATTCTGACATCTGAAACATATTTCTCCTGGACAGGCTCTGATGCCGATTCTGTCTGTCTGTCTATCTAATTTATATTCTGCCCTACCTTCCAAAGCAGGCTTAGGGCGGCTTACATAAAACTTAATTAGATAGATAAAACAAGGAAATAAAATAGAATATAAATATAAAACACTACATAGTGCTAGTGCAGATCATATAGCGATGGCGAGGCATTAGTAGCGTCAATGTAATATGGGTATAGTCGGCTAATACCTCAGTCTGGGTCATATCGGCGGAGCACAGGCTGTCGATGATGGTATTAGTATTGGGGCCAGGAGAAAAATGCTGAAGTGGACTGAGCACAGAGGGTGAGGTGGGGAAGAAACAGGGTTTAACTCCCCTCAGCCATGCACACTCTGGTTTTGTTTCAAAATAAGCTCCTCCTTTCCTTCTGATCCTGAGAAAAGGATCTAGGGGTCTTAGTAGACCACACACTGAACATGAGGAGTGTGATGCGGCTGCTAAAAAGGCAAATGTAATTTTGGGCTGTATCAACAGAAGTATACGTCCAGATCACACGAATGATACCACCTTACTCTGCTCTGGTTAGACCTCACCTAGAGTATTGTGTTCAGTTTTGAGCACCAAAGGATATAGACAAGCTGGAACATGTCCAGAAGAGAGCAACGAAGATGGTGAGGGGTCTAGAGACCAAGTCCTCTGAAGAAAGGTTGAAGGAGCTGGGTATGTTTAGCCTGGAGAGGAGATGACTGAGAGGTGATATGATAACCATCTTCAAGTACTTGAAGGGCTGTCATATAGAGGATGGTATGGAGTTGTTTTCTGTTGCCCCAGAAAGTCAGACCAGAACCAATGGGTTGAAATTAAACCAAGGCTAAACATTAGGAAGAACTTCCTGAAAGTTAGAGCGGTTCCTCAGTGGAACAGGCTTCCTCGGGAGGTGGTGGGCTCTCCTTCTTTAGAAGTTTTCAAACAGAGGCTAGATGGCCATCTGAAAACAGTGCTGATTCTGTGAACTTAGGCAGCTCATGAGAGGGAGGGCAGGAAGGGTTGCCTCAATGCTTAGTTCTTGTGGCCCTTCCTTACATGCCCAAGGAAATGCTGATTGCCAATTTGGGGTCAGGAAGCAATTTTTCTCCAGGCTGGTTTGGCCAGGGATCCTGGAGGTTTTTTATCATCTTCTGGGTGTGGAACAGCGGTCACTGCGGGTGTGGAGGGGGAGGTATTTGTGAATTTCCTGCCTTGTGCAGAACGTTGGACTAGGTGACCTGGAGGTCCCTTCCAACTCTATGATTCTATGAAAGGAAGAAAAACTCACTTACACACCCATATCGTCACATCTTCCTTTACCCACTCTGCAAGTTATATTTTTAGTTGCCTTCAAGATGGGACTCTTTTTTCCTATCCTACTTGGTTGGGAAGGATCCCTGGGGAGATGGATATTAACCAGCTGGGAACCCCCCGAAGAATTATAGCTGAAAATATATTTACTTTTTGAAACCAATGAACACAAAGAATAGAATGAAGAATTGGAACATGGGAACATAAAAGGAAAAAAATTATGCATGAATAATAGTCAGACTTGCATTTCGGTGCATGCACCTTCTAGATCAGTTCTTGTCACAAATCAAGTTGGCACCTGCAGCATTTCAAAGTGGTATGTAAATGGGTATTGAGTCGTTACTGTGGGTATACTAATAGCTGATGCCTTTTGTGAGAGTATGTGACCAAAAAACTCAATTGGTAGTCACTTCTTTGGTCATTAATTATGCATATTCTTCCTGCATTTTGTTTTTGCTCTTGCTGCTTCCTGCAGCATTCTGTGTGGCCTGAGTCGAGCTCCATCAGCTTAAGTGTCCTCTAGACCCTTAAATGTAGTTTGGGTTCATTCTACACGTTACAGGATTGCAGAAGCATTTTTTTCACAGTTCATCAGGAGAGTTGTGGCTAATCCTGGCTTCTCTGGATAATGTTATTTGTGTGATGCAACCATCTGAAGATGAACATTTACTGTCTGCCCAAATTACACTTTTGTAGGCATATGCAGGGCCAGCTCACTCACTAGGCGAACTAGGCGATCGCCTAGAGCGGGCCAGCCCTTAGGGCGCCAGACTGCACCTGGCCCGTACTCTGGGAGTTTCTTGATTATTTGTGTTTTTAATTCTTCCTAAAATGCATTCATTTTTGAAAATTGGTGGGCGCATGGGGAGGGGGGCGCCAGAAGGGATCCCCGCCTAGGGTGCAAAATAAGCTGGGGCCGGCCCTGGGCATATGTGAAATGTTTTGTATGTATCAGTTTTAAAATGTTGTGTGGAAATGACCGTTGTTCTTGAGTTCCCCAAAGCACAGTGTTCTGATAATCCATATGTATGCCATGGCAATATAGCTCTCCATGCAGATTGGATAGCAGGGCGAGCTTCCTTTCATTCTTCACACTTGAGTGGCCATCCAGTCTTGGTTTTTCAGTTGCTTAAAATGCTAACACAATTATTGCTAGAAAATGCTTCCAATCATTCTCCATGTTAAAAGTTCACAGCATCCTTCACAAACATTTGGACAGTGATCTCTCCACCCCTTCTTTCATGAAATTACATTAAATTGTTCTTCTGTCATTATATTTCAAGATCTATGTTTTCATTTCTAAATTATAGTTGACCTTTTAAGCAATTATGTGACTGCCAAACCAAATCAGACGCTTTAGATGGAAAAGTTCTGAAAGCCTACACTAAATTTCTTCTTCATACCTCTCTCTATATTTTCATCTTTTTTTTTTCCTCCCAGGGCATGTGCCAGAGTGACCAGCTGGAGTACTTGTTATAGATTTTTTTAAATGTCCTGGCATAATGGCTGCTTTTTGCCTTGGCAGATTGTTTCTAAGCTGAAGGATGAAATCACATTGATGGAGAGAGAACACAGTGACCTTCGGTTACACATTGAAAGAACAGATTGGTGGTGTGAAAATTTTGGCATGTGGAAAGCCTCCATAAACACTAGTGAGGTATGGCTTTTTCTTGTTCTAGAAGTGATTTAAAAAAAAGGAAGACTCCATTTTTAACATAATGTACAATAGTCCCTCTCTTCTTAGGTCCTAGAAGAAAATGGTGAACAAGTGCCCAGTTATTATGTTGTGGTGGGTTTACAAGAGATTGGCCACACTGAAGCTAAAGAATGGATGGTCCACCGGAAGCTCAGTGAATTTCAAAGCCTGCATCGGAAACTCAGTGAGGTACAGAGAAACTTCTTGCTTCTGCTTCTCCTGAAACTTTGTTGTTGATGTTCTTTATAGAACCAGAGATGACCCAACACCTGTATTCTGTTCTCTGTATATCAAGGAGCGGATGGAAAGGCATGTTGTCAGATAACTCAGTCCCCCCTGATATGTGGCCACAATAAAGCTGGTGCAAAGGGCTTAAAGATGGTCACAGAAACAGTTTTTGGCTCACTTTGATTTTTTAAAAAAAGTGCGACTTGTTTTTGTTATATGCATTATTAATCCTATTTTGATTTTATATTGTATTCATCTGATCCCTCTCCCCCAGCAACTTGGGCAGGAAGCGGCTGTGGGCCAGTTGATGGAGAATCCCCCCCCGTCCCCCCCCAGACTCTGACTAAGAGCAGAGGAAGAACTTCTGTGTCAGTTATATGCAAGTATTACCCGTTCCTTTGACCTCTGCAAACTTCAGAGGTGGACCGGACATTTAACTTGCAGGGGGATTTTCCAGTAAGCGGCCGCTCTAGTGGGCCACTGGTAATGGGGAGCAAGCAGAGCCAGGCTGCAGCCACTCTGCCAGAGCCTCGGGGGTCCACTGGGCTCGAGCCCAACAGTGATGTCTGATGTCACTTCACCGTCTGACGCGTGGCAGAATAATAAAAATGCCCAAATATTAAAATTCACTTTGTGTATTTGTTAAGTCGTGAGCTTAACAAATAGTCGGAGAGTGATTTCAGCAAGAACACATCTTTATTCTTCAACTTGAACACTTCTCCAACACGGATCAACATCTGATAGCCAGAACAGCTTTTACATTGCAGCTGTCCTGCTTTTAAACATTTCCCGGCTAATATAGCCACGCCTATCACACACATAACAACCAATACAATTGAGTGCATAAGAGCCAATCACGATCGTTCCCGCTCGGGGACTAGCTTGAAGTGATTGGATACACTGTTCCTGGGCTAGCGATGTCATTGGCTGTATTTGGATCCTAGCCCAGGATGAAGCTTAACATTGCTTCCTTATGAGATGATTCACAACAGATCCTGCATTCAAGACAGCTTTGAATACATTACAGTATAACTGTGATCTTATTGCAGATTGGTTTTCATTTCATTGTTTGGTTAGTTAATACACAAGAGCACATCTATGCTGAGGTCTTCATTATGGATCCGATGTGGTTGAGGTATGGCTGAGGTTAATAAATAAATAAAGTTTGTATGCAATGCATGCAACTTTTGGAAACAATTTTCTTTTCCTAGGGTGGGGCTGCACTTGCGCACTGTCTGGAAAACTCAGTTAGTTTGAAATGCTCCTGCCCGCCCTTTAGGCTGACACAAGGTGGCAGAACTATGTGACACCTACTTCACGGCAACTGCATAATTCACCATTACTTTTCCACATTCAGTTTAAGATGCTGGTTTTCAAAGTCCTAAATGGTCTTGGTTCAACATACCTTGGAGAACATCTTCTCTCATGTGATCTCTCTCTGGTCTCTCTCTGTTTCTGTCTCTCTCTCTCTCATGTGCCAGTGAGGCCTTCTTCTGGGTCCCATCTGTTTTGTGCGCAGTGTGGCATCCACTTAAGAGCAGGGCTTTTCAGGACTTCCGGTCTATGGCTTCAGCGATGGCGGAGGCTCTCTCCTGAACGGGGGAGGCATTCCGCGCTCCAGGGGTGCTGGAGGGGTGTCACCTCAAGTGGCACCCCCAGGTGAGCCTCAGTGTGGGGCTCCAAGCCGGGGGCGCTTGAGGGGCGACCTCTTCCACGGCTTGAAGCCGGGGAATTGAGGCGCTCCTCCCTGCCCCATTCGGTCCACCCCCTGAGAGGCTCGGTTTTTACCGAGCATAGCTGAATGCCGATCGGGACAAGCAAGCGGGTCAGCGAATGAAGCATGATTAAAAGGAGTCTGTGATCAGACTGTCAAGGAACTGGAGAATGAGACGAGCGAAGAAGCTTTAAAAGTGAGTTCCGATCCCCCCCCCACCCTCAGCGGCGTCGGGAGGAATCCCAGACGTAAACAAACCGAACTGTGATTTAAAGAGACGGGGAGGGGGAGAAGACAATTAATCACTCAAGCGTGCCAGAGACTTAGCTGTTTTTTGCGGATAAACCAGCACTTGCTGAAGAAGTGTGAAAAAGCACTCTTTAGTATAAACAAAGCGGAAAATGGCCGGCGTCCGAGGGAGAGGAGTGAGAGGGGGGCGTGGTTCTCAAAGTCCGAGAGTGGAGGAAGGAGATGTTTTCTCCACACTAACAGAGCTGCTTCGGCCCATTCATGAAAGACTCGATGGCCTTAACCAATTGATTGCTGCCTCAAACCAGAGCATGGCAAAACAGCAACAGCAGATCACCGAGCTTGTGAAAAAATCGATCCAAACTGATGAAAAACTTAAAGAGACCACACATGATGCTAAAAAGCTGAAGAAAAGAGTTGGTCTGATGGAACAAAAGCAGGATCTACACGAAAGGAAGCTATTGAACCTACAAATGGACAAAGCGAATAAAACCCTTAGATTCCAAGGGGTGGCTGAGACGACAGGAGAAATTTTGAAAGATGTGGCAGCTGAGCTAATCGCTCTATCGCTCGGCATTGCAACGGCTGAAGCGCATGCAGAGATAGAAGTGACATATCGTTCTTACTCTAAATATATTAAGCAAAACAAACTGCCGGGCGAGATCGTGGTCAAATTTCTCCGACGACAGACAAGAGATGATATTCTCAAAGCAACAGCAGACAAACCCCTGCAAATGGGATCAGCAAGTATCAGGGTCCTTAAGGACGTTCCATTTGAGGTTCGACAGAAAAGAAAAGCGTACAAAGAACTCATCTCAACACTTCAGATCAACCAAATTCAATACTCCTGGCTTTTTCCAGAAGGGGTCCAATTCAAATATAGAGACAAAAGAGAAAAAATCGACTCGGTGTTAAAAGCAGAAGAATGGTTGAAGCAATTCTTCGGACAGAAAGAGGAAGAGCAGCAAGACGGAGGAGGCCAGGCAGCTGACCTGGAAGAGACGGACAGAGACCTACTTGGAGCAGAAGGAGGCACGGCCAGAGAAGCATATGACTTGCGGCTAAGAGTTGCCAAATAGCACTTATGAACTAAAAAGACTTATGGATGAGCTGGAAGAAGTCTATGTGCACACTGAGAAGAAATTAGATATACAACAAAATGGACTAACTAATCTCCTAAATTCCTTGACTTAAAAAAAAAAGAGCAGGGTTTTTCAGAACTGTGGAATGCCCTCAAGGATTGCCTCTAGCCCCATCTAGTCCTTTCTTTTGGAAACCTAACAAAGACATGACTATCCCGCCAGGCTTTTGAGAAGGAGGTCTTTTCTGACTGAATCCTGTTTTGAGATCTGGGGATGGAGTAACTGCCGTTTGATTTGTTTTCTTCATTTTTATTGCTAGCTTTAACTGACAGTGCTTTGTATTGTGTTTGTACTATAACCGATGCCGGGAGTTAAAGGTTTCCGTTTCTTAGGGGAAATGTTTGGTGCTACTTGATGGGAGCTCCTGATAGCCATGAGGGGGAGTCATTGAAGGAGGACCTGAAAACTAGTGGGTTTTTTTTGGGGGGGGGGGGTTATATTTTTTAAACTCTTTGCTCTGTTGTGTTAAGTGTGTGAACTAAAATGGAAAAATAACTGAGGTTTGTTTTTCTCTCTCAGTGTTTCCCATCATTAAAGAAAGCTCAGTTGCCTTCACTCAGCAAGCTGCCCTTTAAATCTGTAGACCAGAAATTCATGGAGAAGTCCAAGAACCAGTTAAATAACTTTTTACAAGTAAGAAATCAAAAAAGTTCATTAAGACAGTGCTATGTTTAAAAAAAAAAAAAAAATGATAGGCAGTGTGCGTGTGTTCCAAGCCTTCAAGTATGGGGTTCAGTTTCTTAGCATCAGATTTGCTCTTCATACCTTTTTTTATATGTATGTTGGATATTTTCAATATATACTGAAATGTACAATGTGGATTTGACACGCCCACAATTGTATACTGTCATCAGGGAACCAGAATTGTCTCACTTCATTTTGCCCTGTGTAATATATAACAAAAAAGCTTTTTGTGTGAACAGTTCCACCATCTTACCACTGGATTTCACCCACAAGAGTGTACAAAATTGGAACAGAAGCAACATAATTTTTATTTCATTTATTTATTCCTAGCCTGCCATCCCCAGCACAGCAGGGCACAGGACGGGTAACAACAATGGTTAAAACCATAAGGAACTCATTAGCATAATAGGCCACACCCAACAACAGGAATTCATTAGCATATTGGGCCACACCCCTGACAGCACAACTCATTAGCACATTAGGCCACACCCCCATGTTACCAGAAGTGTGGTTATCCAGCCACACCCACCTTTTGCTTGTTATTCTGTTTACCTTGTTTGTTGGCAAAACCCAGGGCTTTTTTGTAGCAGGAACTCCTTTGCATGTTAGGCCACACACCCTTAATGTAGCCAATCCTAATGAGTTTCTGCTGTTGGGTGTGGCCTATTATGCTAATGAGTTCCTGCTGGGCGTGGCCAACTTGGGAGCCAGCCCGGAACTCCGTTCCTGTGTGTTCCTGCCCCAAAATAGCCCTGATTATAATCCATTCCAGTACTATTTATAATCAACAGATGGCACATAAGGCACAATTCCCAAGCTCTCAAGGGAAGGATTGTGCATCATGTGTGTTGGTAGATGTTACAACTGATATTAAGATGGAGTCGGTGGCCGGAAAGAGGGGAGGGGTTCCGCAGGTCCCAGATCTCTGGAAGAGTGTTCCACCAGGTTGGGGCTAAGACTGAGAAAGCCCTAGATCAAGTTGAGGCCAGACAAATGCATTTTGGGCCAGGAACCATGAAGAGATTATTATTCATTGAGCATGGTGCTCTTGGGGGACATCAGAAGTTCAGCCCACCATTGGCTGTACTGCCAGGGCCTAAAAAATATCCCTTTAACCATTTCTGAGGCTGGATCAGGGAGACCTCTCTCCCACTGCGAAGACTGTGTCATTAAAGCCTAATTATGATGCTTTAAATGTGATAGCTCTCCGTTAACACACATGCTAACATTGTGCTTAGGAGCCACTCAAAGTGTTTGGTGGGGGGGTTTTACATTGTAAAAACTACTGGTGACTTGATGAACTTTTAGGATCTGCTGATGTAGGCAATGCTCCTTTTTAACACTTGTCTTTCTCTTCATTATGCAAGGCCTTAATCAGCAATAGAGCATGGGGTTGTTCTTTCCTGCTTAAAAAAAGAAGTCGTCACATGTGATTGCCGTGTTTTGAAATAGTCTGTCTTTTTCCCCCACAGAAATTGCTTTCTGATGAAAGGCTTTGTCAAAGCGAAGCACTTTATGCCTTTTTGAGCCCTTCCCCTGAACACCTCAAAGTTATTGACATACAGGGAAAGAAATCTTCTTTTTCAATCTCTTCTTTTTTGGAGAGGCTTCCTGGAGATTTCTTTTCTCATCAGGAGGTGAGGGGGAGAAAATAATGCTTTTAGTAGATTAAATGACCCATATAAAATAATTAGGAAGTTCCTGAATGCCATCTCAGATGAACTGTTTGCAGGACTGTGGATTATTGGAGTGAGTTAATAATAGGATATTGAAGCTCTCACCCGCTGTAATGCAGTTTGCTTATATACTTTCTTCTCTGCATGTGCATTCTATTGCTATTTCATGCATTCCACTGGGAATGTTCTCTCAGCCAGCCCCATTGAAGTGAGGCTTCATTTACGTTGGGCCTTGTGCAGAATTCCCAATTGGAGGGGAAGTGTATACTTGCCATGTCATTCTCCCCTGAAGAATCTAAGGCCAAAAAAGACTGGTAAAGATGGCAGAATAATACTCTGCAAAGCTGCTGTCAGTATACATATAGACCACTGAGCTGACAGTAGAATGTGGTTTCCTGTTCTTGCATTCTCCTGCGGGGGGGGGGGGGCTGTCCTCACTCATTTTCCAGCAAGAAAGTAGGAGGTGTGATGGTGTAACCAGGGATGAAAGCTGGGTGTCAGCATACCATGAGCAGAAGGGGGAAAGTATGTAATCTGGCTAGTGGGGGAGATCTGGATGGCTAGAGAATAGGTGTCTATGAAGACTTGTCAACTGTCAGCTGAATACACAACTTCATCTCTTGGCGATTATTATGTCGGACGGTATGGAATAATCTCTAGTGCTTGTTTCATAGCTGCATGCTACAGACCCTGAACTGCATTGTAAAAAAAAAAGGGGGGGGGGAGAAAGTGCTGAGCCGTATCTATGCCAAGACAGAAGACAGAAATCTGTCACTGCTCAGGGCTTGAGACTTAAGACCTAGAAATACAGCTGACAAGATTTTTTGAGTGGCAGTACCATTATTTGTCAAGTTTATATAACTGTCCTGTTTTGGAATCTTTATCGACACATCTCACAACCCATAAACCTGTAGCGTTAAGGGCTAAGATAGAGGATGGAGAAGGAGGAGGAATTCTTAGAATAGATTCTGCTTTTGCAGTTTTTACGGGAGATATATGAACTGTGCCAAGTTAGAGCGGCCCTTTCGGATTGCTGTCTTAGCAGCAATGGCAAACGTAACTTGCTGACCATGATTTCCATCCTGTACTCGTTATCGTCTGCCCAGGAGGAGACCGAAGATGATGATGATCTCTCTGACGATGGGGAAGATATGGATGGGAAAAGGGATGCCCTTGCCGAGCCTTGCTTTATGCTGATAGGGGAAATTTTTGAGCTGCGAGGAAGTAAGTCATGACCTTTTTTACTCGTATGTGTTTGCACTGTTTTAGTACATGAAGTTGTTGTTGTTGTTCTGCCTGAGGGCTGTAGACATCGCAGGGCTGTGGAGTAATATTTTTACCTGTATAAGCATTCTCTGTGCATCTCTTTTGCACTCAAAATGCACTTACCACATGTGCTCCCCAGTTTATCTGTAGCACTGGCATGCTGGTGACTCAGGCAGGGGTGTGTGGAAGGGTTCACAGGGGCGTGCAATTAATCCGTTATCTGCATCACACACAAGTTGTGCCTTAGGGTCCGCAGCCCTTTCTGCACTCTCCTTCTCATCCATGTTCACCATGGTGTCCTCCAGGCAATTCTGCACTAAAATTGAGTTCAACCTTTTTAATTCAGAATTTCCCCTCCATTCTGCACTAAAATCGAGTTCAGCCTTCTTTTTATTCTGGGTTTTCCCGCCGTTCTGCATTACATTACCTCCCTACAGTGGTCAGCCCTGTTTCAGTCTGCTGTTGCCCCGGGTTATTTGGATGCTGTTCTGCTGTGGACTTATATTGCCTCAACTCGAACACTGAGAAAATCCGGAGTGGGAGGCAAATGCGGGAAGGACCCTAGTTTCCTTATGAACCATATACTAACATGGTTTTGGCACTTTAATAATACTGTTACTATAATTTGTGCCCTGATCTGGATAGCCCAGGCTAGCCTGATCTCATTAGATCTTGGAAGCTAAGCAGAATTGGCTCTGATTAGTACTTGCGTGGGAGACCACCAAGGAAGTCTAGGGTTGCTATGAAGAGGCAGGTAATGGCAAATCACCTCTGAACGTCTCTTGCTTTGAAAACCCTACGGGGTTGCCATAAGTCAACTTCAACTTGGTGGCACTTTCCACCCCTACTGTAATTTGTGGTTGGGAGTGTGATGTGCAGAGGTTATTGGATGACGATAGCTGCAGCTAGTTAGGAGACACTCGTTAGGAGACTTTTCAATAGGTAAAAAGGTAAAGGTAAAGGTTCCCTTGCTCGAAAGCCAGTTGAATCCGACTCTAGGGTTGCGGTGCTCATCTCCATTTCAAAGCCAAAGAGCCAGCGCTGTCCAAAGATGTTTCCGTGGTCATGTGGCCAGCATGACTAAACACCAAGGCGCATGGAACGCTGTTACCTTCCCATTGAAGTGGTACCTATTTATCTACTTGCAATTTCTTGCTTTCGAACTGCTAGCTTGGCAGGAGCTGGAACTAGAAACAGGAGCTCACTCCGTCATGCGGCACACTTGGGTCTCGAACTGCTGAACTACCGACCTTCCACAGCCTGCAGTTCAGCGTCTTAACCACTTGCACCACCACAGCTCCTTTTTCAATAGGTAGTAAGTAGGTAAATAACCATTCCCATTATAAGAATATAAGAGAAGCCAATGTTGGATCAGGCCAATGGCCCATCAAGTCCAACACTCTGTCACACAGTGGCCAAAAATACCAGGTGCCATCAGGAGGTCCAGCAGTGCCCCCCCCAAAGCACCAAGAATACAGAGCTTCACTTGCCCCAGACTGAGAGTTTCTATCTATACCTTGTGGCTAATAGCCACTGATGGACCTCTGCTCTGTATGTTTATCTAATTCCCTCTTGAAGCCATCCATGCCACCTCCTGTGGCAGTGAATTCCATGTGTTAATCACTCTTTGGGTGAAGAAGTACATCTTTTTATCTGTTCTGACCCGACTGTTCTAATCCAGATCTGGTGCCTCGCCATTCATTTGGGAAGCTGAGAATCTAATTGGAAGATGAAAGAAAAGAACACCCTGTGGGGCAGAAAATAAAAGCAAGCACCTATACATGCTCTAACTTTATGCCTTCAGCTGCATGCTTGGACTTTACTTTTATGCACTGCTTTTTTGTTTGTTTCATTTTAGTGTTTAAGTGGGTCAGGAAGACACTAATTGCACTAGTTCAAGTTACTTTTGGAAGAACCATCAACAAGTGAGTGAATTACACTTTTTTTTAACTTCTAGAACTGCTGCTCTGTAAATAAACTGCTTGATGCAAGGACCGTTGAAAACCAGAGTGTTCTGTGTAATTGGTTGATTTAGAAACAAGTTAAGTATCTCTGTCATTCCTGTTGTACAGATAGCCAGTCACTATTTCATCCGCTTTAGGTCAAAATTCAAGTGGTTCTTTGGGCCCAGTATGTCAGCCATCCCATATGATCAGGGTTATGTGTTATGCACTAATAACTCCCAAGTCCTGTAAAAATTTCAATAGTTTGCATAATTCTGTTTCTGCTTGTCAGGGTGTTTTGGGGGGTGAATTATGCAGGGTGTACCTATCCTCCCAAATTTCTGAGACGTCACCAGTCATATCAGGATGCAGAAATGAGACCCAGTCCCCCCCCCCAAGTGCTTGTGGACAGTAATTGCACCTAGCATGTTATGCAACTGAAAACCACCAGAGGGGGCACAAGAGCAGCAGATGGGAGCTTTTCCGCAAAAGGGAGCGAGGCTCTTCCTGCCTGTCGCGAGTTAATAAACGCCATCCATTGAGTAGAGTTTTTTAAATGTTGTCCTTCCAATGAGCTCAGGGAGGAAAACATGGTTCTCTCCCCTTCTCCCGTTTTATCCTCGAAACAACAACTCTGAGGTAGGTTAGGCTTACAGAGTGACTGGCCCAAGGTCACCCTGTGGACGAGGATGCAAGAAGAACCCTTCTGAATTAGAATCTCCACCCAGCCCAGCATACTGTTTCACACAATAGCCAACCCGTTGCCCTGGTGGGATAACAGAGCATAGCAGGCAAGGCAGTGGGTTTGAGCCGGGTTCTCCCAGGTCTTAGTATTCTAACAGAATTCTGCAGTTGTGGGATGCCAGTTCTGATGATTCCCTGTGTTTAAAGCAAAACAAAACTAGCCTATCGGGGGAGAGATTCTAGCCCTGCCTACTCTGTATTTGCAAGGTGTCTTTACAGAAGACAGCTTTAAAAACACAGGTTTTGTTCCCCACCTGCATGAAATGAGACCGATCTTTCTATACCCCATTTTCTGGCATGTTTAGGCTAGGCCACATTTCTACGGAATGAGATGGCTTCTCCAGTTTTCGGTTTTGCTATCATCATTTATCATTCTCCTAAATGAGACTTGGTTCTGGGCTTCCTTCCCCTCTTTAATGCTGCACCCTTCCAGAATCTAAGTATTGCCATTTCAAGAGTACCCTTTAGATCAATCCAAACTGCATTCTCTCTAAAGAACATTGTAACTGTGGCTACATAGGTAAATGTCACGACAGGAGAATAGCAGCTGTATTGTCTGAAAAGCAGGTTTGAAGGGTAGGGGTTCAGAGCACGTCTGTCTGGCATAGCATTTACAGCTTACTCATTCTTATCACCTCTTTTCAAGGCAAATTCGTGACACTGTTAATTGGATCTTCAGTGAACCAATGCTTGTATACTATATTAATGTATTCCGAGATGCTTTTTGGCCAAATGGGAAACTGGCATCCGGCACAAAGCCCAGAAGTGAAGAACAAGGCCTGGAGACGAAACAGAAAGCACAGCAAAAATTACTTGAAAACATTCCAGGTGCGTATATCAATTACAGGAAATGTAATTAGTCAGAGGACAATGAAAGCGGCTTACCTTTCATATTGTACGTTAGAGATTTAGAAGAGCTTCACAGATAAGGTGAATCTGTTTATTATCTCTCTTTCTCTGTCTTGCACTCAAACACATAGGCACACAGAATTTAGCAGCTACTCATGCACATTCAGACTTGCTTATTTAACCTTTAACAGGGTCACCCAGTGTCTTAACCATTGTGTTTCCCTATGGATAACGATTAGAAATGCTCCTTTTGAAGCAAGTCTGGGTAGCATTTATATAATGGGAAATATCAGAGAGAGAGAAAATCCAAAAAGGGCATTCTGCATGTCGATTCATTGGTCCCACAGATGTAAGATTAGCAAGTCCTGTTATATTTCTTGGTATTCTGGGTTAGTTTTTTTCTGTGTCCCCCCCCCCTTTCATCTTAGGAGCTTACAATAATATACATAGTTCTCCCCCCCCCCCCATTTTGTCCTCAAGATGGCTTTGTGAGAGAGGTTATACTCTGTGATTGGGCCAAGTAAGCTTTATGATGGTGGGAATTTGAACCCAAGTTTGTTTGTTTATTTATTTCATGAGGCTTCGATACTCCCCTCCCCCATGACTGGGCTCATGGGGATGCACAACAAAATTAATAAAAATATATATAAAAACAATACACATTCTAGAATCCTAGTCTGTAAACCAAAACATCTGCATGGTACGATGATATAAATTCCTGACCCCGTCAATTTACATCAGCATGTGGGAAAGGGGGTGAAAAGCAGTTAAAAGCTGGCTAGATGTTAAAACTGCTAAGAACCGTTAAACCATTAAAAAACCCATTGCTGTCCTCAACCATATGTTTGGCAAAAGAGATCTACCTTGCAGGCCCTGCAGAATTGTAACAGATCTCACATGGCCCCGATGTCAGTAGGCAAAGACTTCCACCAAGTCGGAGCCTGGTTGAGGACTTTACTTTTATGCTTTGAGCCAGGGACGTCCAGTAGGTGTTGGTCTCCTGAGCATAATGTTCTTCGGGGGACATACCAGGAGAGGCGGTCCCTGACTGTTTAGGGCCTTATAGGTCAAGACCAAAACCTTGTACCTGACCTGGTACTCAACACAGAGCCAGTGCAGTTGGCGAAGCACATGTTGTATGTTCCCATGTTGTATGTGTGCAGTTATTGGTGTCCCCGTAAGGACCCAAGCCACTGTGTTCTGGACAAGGTGTAACTTCTGGATCAGCCTCAATCAAGCCTAGAAGTGACCGTTGCATAGATTACTGTGGCTAAGCCGGGGCAAGACAGGTAGGGGGCCAGTTGCTTGACCTGGAATAGTTGGAAAAATGCCAGCCTGGCAATGTTTGTGACCTGGGCCTCCATTGACAAGGAGGCATCCAGGACCACACCCAAACTCTAGACCGTCTGTGCGGTGTTAGAGGCATGTGGTCAAGGGTCAGGAGTTGGCACTCCAAACCTGAATCTCCCCCACCCAGCCAGAGAACCTCCATCTGGTTATTTGTTTATATTCATCCTTGGTTATAAGGCCTTCCATTTCCTAAATGAGTCTTTTTTTATTTCTCAAGTCTTTAGAAAGCTATTTCTGGAGCCACTTTGGCTTCTTTAGGCTCTTCCCATTTTCCCTTCTCATAGGAATCATTTGTGATTGTGCCTTCAGTATTTCACTTTTAAGAAACTCCCACCCCTCTTGAACGCCCTTCTACTTAAGTATTTCTGACCACGGGATTCTACCCAGCATAACTTTAAGTTTGTCACAATTGGCTTTCCTGAAGTCCAACCTATATGTCTGACTACATACAGCTTCTTCCTTACCCAAGACTGTAAATTCCAAAATTACATGGTCACTACTACCCAGGGTGCCCACTACTTTCACCTCGTCAGCCAGTTCTTCCTTCTTCCTTGTTGGTGAGACTCAAGTCCAAGATAGCAGATCCCCTTGTTTCCTTCTCCAGTTTCTGGAAAATGAAGTTATCAGCAAGACATGTCATTAATTTATTTGACCTTTCATTTTTAGCAAAGTTGGGCTGCCAACAGATACCTGGGTAATTGAAATCTCCCATGACCACTGTGTCCCATCTCTTTGAGAACTTTGTAATCTGTTCTAGGAGTGTCTCTAGGCTTGCCAAGTCCCCCCGGGGGGCCGGGAAACCCCCGCCCCAGAGGCCTGTTCCCCGCCGCTGGCAGATCGGGCCCCGGGGGGAACCCCACCCCGACGTGCACATCACCCGTCACTCTATGGTTTTCCCTCGGATGGTCGTGGCCAATGTTCCCTCTAAGCTGTGGAGTCTTGTGAGCAAAAATTCTACTTTGTGAGCCACTGGAATTAAAGTTGTGAGCAAGTGATTTGGCTGCTGCATAAATTAGTTTGCTTGGAGCCATCCTTCCTGAGCTAAGACAAAAATGTGTGAGCCGGAGGCTAAAGAACTGTGAGATAGCTCACACTAACTCAGCTTAGAGGGAACAGTGGTCGTGGCCCCGCCCCCAGCGTGCCCGGCGTGGTCGTGTCACTTCCGAGTGACGTGGATGCAGCGCGCGCGCACTCCAGTTGCAAGCCGGGCCAACCTGCTGCGGCTACCCGGGCCAACCCACTGCGGTGAAAATCTGACTTGGCAAACCTGAGTGTCTCATCTAAGTCCTCTGCCTGGCTTGTTGGTCTATAGCAGACCCCCACCATAATATCACAATTATTTCTTACTCCTTTTATTTTTACCCAGAGATTCTCAACTGAACTTCCACGCTCAGATTCATGTACTTCCTCACAAGTATATTACCTCCTTTACATATACAGCTAAATTGGCACCTACTGCCACTGTTATAATTTAGGAAAGATCCAACTTAGAATAAATTATTTACCTACCCCAAGCTTCCAGTTTTGTTTTTTGAATTACAAGTCCACTTGTACAGTGGATTGATCTAAAGAATAGCTATTTAGCAAGCAGACCTGTGAGATCAAGAAGAAACCCTAACTAACATAAAGGGAAGGTGTTTTTTTAAAAAAAATCCTTAAATATCCATGCTACATGTTTTCAAAATGAACAGAATAAGTGCCGGGGAAAAGATAAGGAACGTTACAATAGAGGACAGCCCAGTTCATAACAATACTGTGTCCAGATTCCCAAAACACATTTCGAATATCTCAAAAAAGAACTTGTTTTGACAAAGTATTTCTATTGGTGTTTTAGTATTAAGGGAAGCCCGGAGGATCATTTTGTCCGGTCCAGCGAAGTGATACATAAACCAGGCTTTGAAACTAGGGATCTCGGTTCCAGTCCTTCTGGGCATTCAGCCATATTACTGCCACGTCAGCTAGAGAGAAGAACATGCAGGGGGTGATGTGTTTCAAATTCAGGATGAATTGGCTCGGAGGGTAGCAGAGCTGTGTCTTTAGAAAGCAGGAGTCAGATCAAAAAGAAAGCAGAATCTTTCTCCCAGGTGGGCTCACTTCTGATGTCTGAGGCCAGCAGCGAGGAAAAGGAGTTTGGATGATGGACTTGGGAGGGTTGAGGGTTCAGCTTTCCTTACCCATGGGTCCTAAATTAAAACCACCCATTTTTATAGGTGGCAGCTTTAAACATGGGAGGCCTGTGATCGTATCTAGTTTGGCCTTTAGGCACATACAGGCATTAAGTGGTGTTCTCCGAAGCAGACTAAAAATGTTTCTTTCAGACACTCTACAGAGTCTTGTTGGACAGCAGAATGCTCGCCATGGTGTAATCAAAGTATTCAATGCACTTCAAGAAACCAAGGCCAATAAGCATCTTCTCTATGTGAGTTATTAACTGCGCCTTTTTCGGCCTTTGAGGTTTTGGTTGCTGCTTAAACGTATCCTTTTTCTTCAAGTCTTAAGACTTTACTTCCCAGAGCTCATCATTTGATTGTAGTATTATCTGTTATTTTATTCTCTACTGTATTTTTTTAAAGACTCACAGCATTTTAAACTAGGGATTAAAAAAAAATTAAAAATGGTATTTACCCATCCCCCAAATAAGCGGATTCTCAGTTCCCTAGGAAACTCAGAAGAATTTGCCAGATCCTAAATCATGTCTCGTCTGTTAAGAATCCCCAGGGGCATGGCGTGGATTGGTCCTTCCCTTGTGCGGTAGTCCCGAGTTCTCTTCTGCCTATGTGCTCTTTTTGTTTCCCTTTGTTAGCACTACTCTGAGTGCAGTATTCTACTGAGATTAAGGTTCAGACCAAGGTTTCAAAACTGAAGGAGGTGATTATAGGAAACCAGCTGCAATACAGTGATAATCAGCAGCTGTTTTTTTTCTGAAGGGCCACGTCAAGGAAGGTGTGAAGGTGATAATAAGTCAAGTTTTCTCTCAAAATGTGAATTGACAGCAGGCCCCTTAATCACCTCTGCTCCCTTCCATACAGTCCTCTTTACTCTGGATTTGCAATACTGGGGGGGGGGGGATTGTACCATCTTGTTTTTAATGCCATAGACTGGAGGGTATCTTTCCAAATATCCTTCTTTTTGTCTTTCCAGGTATTATTGGAATTGCTGCTAATTGAACTGTGTCCTGAGTTAAGAACTCATCTAGAGCAGCTTAAGGCTGTTCCAGTTTGATTCTGCAGAAGTGAAATACTCAAGAAATGTCTGTGTTTTGTTCTGTTTTTTAATCATAGACATGAAACTTATTTCCCTCTTTTTCACAGAGGGCTGATTGAAGACTGCTGAGGATTTATAGGGTTTTTTTTTTCCTTTTGAGTTTTATGTGAAGTAAACAAGACTTGAAAAGAACTGGTGACGATAGTAGGGTAGAACGGCCAGTACTGTGTAGTTTCTGGCTTTTATTTAACTTGTTACATGAATATAATTCTATCAGAGATGCAGACTGAAATATAAATGTTAATATAAGAACTATAAAACTATTTTAAACATTTATGAAAGGCATTTTGCTTTAGTGGTTTACCAATGGATGTTGTACAGTTAATTTCCTGCTGAGGAAAATGAACATTCCTCTATTTTCTTGTGCATTGAAGAGCCTTGTTGTGCAATACTCTATGTAAAGATATTGTGTAAATTTTATTGTTTTTATTTTTACCAAAGATTTCCCATAGTTTTGAGCCTTTGTAAGCAATAAATTACAAAACTGGCCTGCAGTGCTTCATAATTAAGCTCTGTTTTGTAGCTTGCAAATGGGGGTCTACTGTGCCTGCTGACTTCAGGGGGAGCCACATTGATGTCTCTGGGCAAAAGGGACATAGCTTCAGTTTCATGTTCTCCTCCGACTTCTCTTGCTGATGAACTGGATTTAAACCGCTTGTGGCCTCCTAATATTATCCAGAGCTGTTTTCTTTAAATGCCCCCCTCTTTAAAGAGGTATTAAATCAGGTTTGGATTTTATTCTAATGGTGCCAGTTCGCTTTTTTTAGAAGCTGAGCTACTGCTGCCTGCTTCTTAGAGGTATGGGCATTTTCTGAAATCCAATTTACAACATGGTCAGCAGTGTGGCAATGTTTCAGGGCTTGTATATATCCAAGGCGAGTCTTCCTTGCCATCACTCTTTTTTTTTCCATTCTTTGCACAGGGCTATGATATGGCTATGCAGCCAGTCTCCTTTCCACAGTTGAGTAGCTACTGTTGTGTGTTAATTCCCACCCCCCGGCCCAGAATGTGGCCACAACAACTTAATATAGGGAAGCTTCAAAGAATTGGGGGTGGGAGTATTTTTGCATTTGTGTCTGTGTGTGCGCCCGTGCCTGGAAGTCGCAACCTCCAGCGACTCCTACTGGGGCATGGAGGGCGTTCATAGAAGTGGCTTGATAGCCTGCCTCTCCCTCTCGGCCCTGGTATTCTTTGGAGGTCTCCCATTCAAATACTTGCAGGGTTGGCCCTGCTTAGCTTCCGAGATCTGACGAGATCAGGCTTGTCTGGGCTATCCAGGTCAGAGTGGAAAGCTTGAAAGGAATTTAATGGTAAAATGCACATACCTAAAGAGCCTCTTGCTCAGAGTGAAAGAGGAGAGCACAAAAGTGGGCTTGAAGTGCAACATCAAAAAAACTAAGATCATGGCATCCGGCCCCATCACTCCTTGGCAAATATAAGGGGAAGTCGTGGAAGTAGTGACAGACTTCACGTTCCTGGGAGCCCAGATCACCGCAGACTGTGACAGCAGCCATGAAATTAAAAGACGCCTGCTCCTTGGGAGGAAAGCGATGGCAAACCTAAACAGCATGATAGTCAAGTTTATTACGGTCATAGACCAGTATAATAGAAGACATACAGCATGATAAAAAGTAGAGACATCAATCACCCTGCCAACAAAAGTCCGCATGGTCAAAGCAATGGTATTCCCAGTAGTCATGTATGGCTGCGAGAGTTGGACTATAAGGAAGGCCGAGCACCGAAGAATAGATTCTTTTGAACTATGGTGCTGGAGAAGACTCTTGAGAGTCCCTTGGACTGCAAAAAGATCAAATCAGTCAATCCTAAAAGAAATCAACCCTGACTGTTCCCTGGAAGGCCAGATAATGAAACTGAAGCTCAAATACTTTGGCCACCAAATGAGAAGGGAGCACTCACTGGAGAAGACCCTGATGCTGGGAAAGATTGAAGGTCAAAGAAGACGGGGACGGCAAAGGATGAGATGGTTAGACAGTGTCATAGATGCAACGAACATGAAATTGAGCCAACTTCAGAGGACGGTGGAAGACAGGAGGGCCTGGCGAGAGATGGTCCATGGGGTCGCGAAGAGTCGGACTCGACTGTGTGACTGAACAACAACACACATATTTGACAGACTGTGGAGCTCACGTGAATAACTCAGCAAGTCTGGTTCAAGTTTGACAAAAAAGTCCCAAGTTTATAGATTACTTTGTGTACAGTCCACATCTGCCATGGGTGCTGTTGCTCACACACAGAACCAATGTGGTGATGTTGGAGCCTGTCGTCTTAGAATCAAATCCCTTCTCAGCCACGAAGTCCATGGGGCTTCCTTGGGTCAGTCACATTCTCAATCTAATCTGTGGGTTAAATGGGGTGGGGGAGACTATCTCAGCAGTCAAAGCTCCTTGAAGGACCGACAACATAAAATGCAATAGATACATATGTAGTGGTTTCATGTGAAAAATGAAAGTGCTCTACAGATACTTGCTCATAAAACTGTTAAGGTAAGAATTTAGTTTGCAAACATATGAACAGATATCTATTTATTTCTCTTTATTTATAAATAATTTTTATTTAATTATTAAAAAAAACAGACATAAACATCAAGTACACACCCCACTCCCCATAGAGAAATAACCTACAGTGTACACATAACAACAAAAAAGCAAAAAAAGAGGGGGGAAAGGTGAAAAAGGTGAAAAACAAGCAAATTAAGGCATTAGTTGAGAGCTCAACATTCAGCATAAATACAAAGAGAAGGACTTCTTTTCCCCTTTTTTCTTTTCCTATAGACATGCATAATTAATATATAATTACAACATGATTAAAGTATAGAGAGAGGCTTATTTCACTTTATCCCATAATCTGAGGAAGGGCTTAAACATACTTTGGGTATTGTTCTGAGCTGCGTATAAAATAAAATCATGCCACGTTTCAAAAAAGTGCAGTTTTGGCTTTGGATTTGATTATTCTAATTTTTCAGCTATTGCAATCTGCCATAACTCAGAATACCATGAGTGTAGTGTTAATAATTCTGCGGCTTTCCAACTTTTAGCAACTGTCCTGTGCGCTGCCATTAACATAAACACTATTAGTCCTTTAGAAGTCACCTTTTCATTTTGTTTCTCCCATATTGTTAATAGGGCCAAAGCTGGTGTAACACAGATGGTTTGACGTGTAATTTTTGCCATTTCTGCAAAACTGTTCTCCCAGTATTTCTCTTTATTTAGACATCTTCTTTGCTACCTCTCCAGAGAACCTGCTCAAGGCAGCTTACAAATTGAAAAATAATAAAAGCCTGTCACCATACAGGTTGTTAACCCAGCAAGACAATAAGAACAGCATAAAATTCTGTACATCTTGAAAAGAACATTTCTTGGGCTAGACACAGACTTTAATAATGAGGTTAAAAGATCAGCAATTTAAAAGGCCAGGTTAAAAATGTTTGGGTGGAAAACAATGTAGGTGCCAGGCGAACCTTGAGGTAGAGGAGGAGTGTTGAAGGGGCCACTGCAGAGAAGGCCCTGTCTCTGGTTGCCATTAATAGCAGCAGTGCGAGGGTTCAGCTTTGCCTGGGGCCACAGCAGCCAACAAGTATGGTTTAGAAGACATGCCCTGCGTGTTTTTATCTATACAACTTATATCTGAAAGAAGTCTGATATACCTTTATAGGAAGGCTCAGTTAATTCACTAGCACAGGGGTACCCTGTGGGCATCATGGTGCCTGCCAACACCTTTTCTGACACCCCACAAGAGTTTGTAGAAAGTGGGCATGGCCAAGTGGGGCTTTTGCCCAGCAATGATTCTGACGGGTCACTGGAAATTTTATTGGCTGTGCAGATGTTTTAAAAAGTTGGTTTGGTAGCCGCTGCCGCCACCACACAAGGATTTTTACTGTGTGACTGAAGGTAAGCTGGAGCAGCCATTTTGTGTCTGGCAGGCCTGTAGCCAGGATGTTGTGGCTTGTGGAGCAAATTTTTTTCTGGTGGGGCTGAAGTTCTCAGTGCAGAAAGAAAAGCCATTGAGCCAATAGAAAGCCAGGATAGATCTCTAAATTGCAAGCTGCGATCCACTTTAGATGATAGTTCTCGGCTGCTGCAAGTCAATCACTTCTGTCAAGCAATTCTAATAACAAGCCAACAGGTGGGGGTGATGACTCCTATAGTCAAGAAAGCTAACACTTAGGCAGAAAAACTCCCTTAAAGGAGACCAGTTTCTTGACACAGAGTTAGAAGGGATCCTAGAGGTCACCTACTCCAACCCACCTTGTTCAGTGCATGAATCAGTTAACTACAGCACCCCAATCTGCTTAAAGGAGTGCATGCCTTTAAAAAAACATTTTAAAATGATTGGGGGGGGGGGACATTTACAGGAGAAATTCTTGTGGGGCTGTGCCTTTAAGAAAGGGGGTGGAGCCCCCAAAAGTTCCACCATAGCTACAGCCCTTGCTTGCATTACCATTCTCTGTCAGAATTCCAAAGGTGCCCACAGGTTCAAAAAGGCATATTCTTCCAGAATGTCCAATTACATGCATGCAGTGTTTTAAAACTGAATTAAGAGGTACAGGTTCAAAGTTCTTAAAATTTTGATCTTGTGCCTTAATTTTGCACAATTAACAATTTTATTATTATTATTATTATTAATGATAATAATGATAATCTTTCAGTTTATTAATCGCTCAATCCTGCAGAGCTTGCCGGCTCTGAGCGATTTACAGTAATACACACAGGACTAACAATGATTCAAGGGGTAAGGGAGGACAACATATAATCTTTAAATCACACACGTTCGCAGCCGACGGGGAGTTTGTTCAGCTGTAAGGTCAGACGTGTTCCAGCGGCATTTTCCCCTCGGCGTGGCTTGATATCGTCAGCTTTCTTCGGACTGCTTCAAGTTGCAGCGCAGCACTGCCACCGCCTGGCCGGACGGCCCATTACAGGCTTCCTTGATGTCGAAGAGTTCTTTCTAGGCTTTTCGGTCTTACGCGCTGGACATTCTGTTCGCCGGCAAACACCTCCCCCACCGGGGGGTTTAGTGTGCCCACCCTCTCTAAGGAGTGGTACCCATTTTATCTACTCGCCGAAGCTTTCGAACCGCTGGGTGGACTGGTATTAACCCGGTAAAGGAAAGCAAAACTTAGAAATGTCGATGGATACATGATACGTAGCTTGCATGCAAACCCCCCCCCCCCAATAATTTACTTTCAGAGAGAAATTTGAGTTAAAAGTATATCAAAACATTGTGTCTAATGAAGGAAATTTGTTTACGATATTCATGATTTATAGAAAACAGTAGTCAGAAGTTACAAAGCAAAACCGTAGGAACTTGCTTAGACTTATCAAAACAATTCACTAAATTCTTCCATGATTCGCTGTCAGCTCAAGATCAGCAGCAACAGCAGGATCCAGATTGCATGCCTTTAAAACAAATGAATAATAGTAGCTGTCATTAAAAAAACCTTTTTGTACAAGGCACTGAAGGCATTGCATATCAGGGAAGTACATTGTATCTTAAAATAACTTGTTGGCCATGCAATCCTATGCAGACTCCTGTATAAGCTACTGAAATCCATGACCTTAAACTGGAGTAACTGGAGGACTGTGCTACAAATCACTTAGCTAGAAATACATTGCCTCAATCACTAATCTGCAGTTTCTTTCTTTTTGTGTGTGTGTGGGGGGTCCCTTTCAAGGTAGGTAAACTGATGGCAGTAAGAGTCTGGACAGTAAGAGTTTGGACTGTTTGGACAGTAAGAGTTTGGACTGTTGGAACAAGACAACCAACACTAAGCTGTCTTATAGATCAGCGAAAGTGGAGCATCACAGGTGTGAAAACTACCCCATGGCCCTGCACAGAGAAAGCTAGTATTCCAGAAGGGCCAGGTTGAATTCTTCAAAGTGCTAGTTTACTATTTTCAGGCCAGGAAAATTTATAATCTCTTATTCTGTGATTGTGTATGAGGGCCCTCCATTAACAAGTAAATGTTTTTTTATAAGGAAGATAAACCTGTGATTCCGTTGCCTCTCATCATGTACGAAAACTTTTATGGGGAGGAGCAGAATTTGAACACTGATTAATACCAATTGTTATTGATATCAAACATTATTGAAGAAAAATCTGTACAGATTCAAAAAAATCCTTGCTTTGGCAGCAGTAGCTGCTGCCACCGCAGCACAAGGATCTTCACCATGTGACTGAAGGTAAGCTATGTGTATCCAAGAATATTTCTATAAACAAGAAGTACATTTTAAAGGGCATCTTGTTTAAACAGAGCTTCTGTATGAAATGCTGAAGAGTTACTGTTGTGGTAGTGCATGACCTCACTCCCCGAGACTCTGCGGTTGGCTCTGCCTTTTGTGGCAGACATTTTGTGGTTGCACCCAAAAATGCCTGCAGGCTTGAAAAGGTTGAGGACCTGCATATTAGTCTGTCCAAGAGCTAAGCTGTGCTATGTGAATTCCCTAATCTTGCCCTAAAGGTGAATGCAAGATCATTTACTTGGTAAAAATAACTGATGACTCCAGAGAATCACATGAATAGAACAAACATATCTGATGGTTGAACTACACCTTACGTGGGAGATCTGTAATCTTTCAGTGTTAAGATCCCAGTTTGGATCAGGGCTTGAGCCAGCGGTAGTAGTTAACAATTTCCGCCAAACAGATTTCCCCAGAGCTGATATTTAAAAGACAGGTACTTGCTTTGTACCTGTTGCTTCTCCCTGCTGACGGTAGTAGAAGTTGCTCTTTGTCTCCTGCTATCACCCCACCCCCTCCCGATCCAAATGAGGACCCTGAGGAGGGCTTTTAATCTTAGAAGACAGTTATCAGATCTCTGACTACAGTTTAAGGCCTCAGTTCTGGAACACAGTCTACTGCAGGGTTATCAAACCTAAGGCCCGTGTGCTGGAAGCAGCCCTCCCAGAGCTTTAATCAGGCCCCTGGCTCTCTTCTCCACCCCCCACCCCCTCCCCTGCCTGCCCTCACCCTTCCGAGGGAGATCGGGGCTGCCAAACTCAAAAAAAGCTGCAAAGAAAATGTGGAATGGATTTTCCTTTAAGGACTCTAGGCCCAAATAGACTACTCTGGGACTAGAATGGCAGTCCACGGAGTGCAATGAAGGTCTCTGGGAGTAGCAGCTGCATTCTGGGAATGGAATTCCACTCTGGGGGCTCTCATTCCAGTCCCACAATAGGCTATCTGGAACCAGAAACTTTAATGGAAAATCCATTCTGCATTTTCTTTGCAACTTTTTTGAGCTGCAATATATTTCAATGGAGAAGAGTTTCAGTTTCCAGTGTTTGTATGCCAGTTGAATAAAGGTCTGATATTTTGAGCCAGCTTACCTCTGCTGAATGGACCTGAGGTGCCTGAGTGAGTAGTCTAACTTGGGAACCCACAGCCAAAGGGCGACATTACACTGGAGAGCCACAGCCACTCTGAGTAGACTGAGCTTGCAATGCCCAGCCATTTCATGTTTTCTTGGCTCAGAGCATTTTATATTTTTAGTTTTTATTTTTAGTTTCTGCAGTGATCTTTGTACTTTTTTTTTGGTGTTTTATTTAAAAAATTGCATTGCCAAATCCCACTATCCCCCCACCTTTCTATTTTAGGTAGGCTTCTTTTTTGGGGGGTGGGTGGGTGAGGAAGGTTTGGGAAGTGTCAATTATCAAAGACTGTTAAACAAAATATGGCAAGAGTTACTGTTTTAAGCATGTTTGTATTTTAGGTTTAAGAAACCCTTTAATCATGTTTGTCGGTGTCCTTTTTAAAGTTAATATCTTCACTACCTGGCATTACATTTTATGACACACATGGCCTGGCCCGACAAAGTCCTATTGATATCATATCCAGCCCTTATAACAAATGAGTTTGACACCTCTGGTCTACTGTATCTAACTATTTTGGGGGGGGGGTTTTCTTGTGACAAGTGCTGTTATTGGAGTGTAACACCAGAGTAACAAGAAAATATGCCATATTCAGATAATTCAGCTCAAACTGGAATAGGGTATGGTAAAACTTACCTTAGAATAGTATTTTTTAGCTAATGCTTCATCTGGTTTTGTTCCTAGGCCAAGTTGAAAGCACCTGGCCAAGTAGAAGGAAGCCATGGCAAGCCCTTTGGCAATGTAAAAAGGCGCGCAGTCTATGGCCTTTGCTATTTCTTCAACATTGTCATTCTCTGTAACCCTATTAAAGGATTCACAAAGCAAAGTAAAAAAGAAAGAAAACTCTTTAGCACCAAACACCAATAGCAATGTCCTGTAGATTCAGTGGGGATATTTGTGCTCAAATCTAATTGAGAAGTCTGCACAAAGACACAATGGTCACAATAATCATGCAACTGTTTTTTTAGTTGCATTTCATACATCATTAAATGGCTGTTTTTAAAATAGCCAGTGGGAGTCAATGAAACATACAAGTGAGTGACATATCTTTCCCTTTATTGCCACATTCTGTATAGGATGTGAGCAGCTCTTCTCTGAAGAGCACTTAGATGACAGGTGCAAATGTAACCTTCAGATACTTTGGATACCTGAGGCTGCAAAACCATCTGCAGCTGTGGCCAGCAGTTTGAGCCCCCTTACTGAGCTCTGGGGTAGCTCTGTTCTCTTCTAGAAGACAGCAGGGGAACTCCTTGCAGAGACAGAGTTCTCAGGCTCGAGACTACAGTTCTGTAGCGCACTTCTAAGATATTTAAAATTCTTAACTCTGTTTGATCTCATTTTCATTTGGAGGAGGGGGACAGAAGGAAAATAACTGTTTCAGAATTGCTGGTCTCAGTGGTTACTGATACAGTAATCATGAGGGATCTGTGACAGGCAGATCAACGATGGCCTTTCCCATAGACTTTGATCACACGATCCCTTTAGTCATGGCCTCCATCCATGAACACTTCTTGAACATGGACCAGGACAAAGGGCAAGGACTCTTGAGCACATGAAGCTGCCTTATACTGAATCACACTCACGGTCCATCGAAGTATTGTCCGCTCAGACTGGCAGCAGCTGTCCGGGGTCTCAGGCAGAGGTCTCTCACACCACCTACCTGGGACCTTTTGCATACAAAGCAGATGCTCTACCACTGAACTACAGCCCCACTTATAGTCATTGCCCCCAAACCACAAATTGCAGCTTTCCCTTTTTTAATTTCCATTTGCTTGAGGATTATAAAAAGAAAGCAATGTGAGGTTTGAATGCTAGTGATAACAGCAAGGGCTGTTGTTGTTGTTCAGTCGCACAGTCGAGTCCGACTCTTCACGACCCCATGGACCAGATCACGCCAGGCCTTCCGGTCTTCCGCCATCCTCTGAAGTTTTCTCAACTTCATGTTCGTTGCATCTATGACACTGTCTAACCATTTCATCCTTTGCCGTCCTCGTCTTCTTTGACCTTCAATCTTTCCCAGGGCTGAGGGGGAGTTAAAGAGCCCTACTATCGCTGAAATGCATGAGGGGAGAAGGGCTTTGCTAAAGTCATACCGAGGAGGAGGAGGAGGCTAGAGGCCTTGGCATGCAGGAGTGGGCACAGCATGTGTGCCATTTTAGTGTGTGTATCTTCTAAGAAGGTGATGAAAGGGTAGGTGTAATATATGGTGTGAAAGAGACACTTTGTTCTTTCATAATTCTGGTTTACTCAGTAAAACCCGACTGACAGACACAGGATAGACAAAATGAAGTAGTTCATATAATGAACTCCTGCAGTGCCTTGCCTCAGTCTGTAAATGCAACCCCCTCCCAGATGGTTTAAAAGGGGGACTCGACGGGTTCATGGAGGGTGGGTCTATTACGTGCTGTCACCGGCTGCCCTTGGAAATGGGATTCTGGAGTAGAGAAGCCCTTGGTCTGATCCAGCAGGATTCTTTGGTTTTTAACACTGCTGGCCTCTCAAGCCCTTTGCTCAGTTCAAATAATGGGAGCTGTCAAATCTGTTGGAAGTGAGGGAATTTGCACTGTCTCTTAGCCTCAGACTTCAGAGGGGGTCTATAAGAGAGTGTAGAGAGAGACAGAGGTAGGACACTGATCATCCTTCTTTCCTACTGCTCTGATGCTATCCCTTTGATGGCTGGGCACTGCGATCGATGGTGCAAACTCATTTGGAATACTGTGTACAGTTCTGGTCACCACACCTCACAGCACTGGGAAAAGTGCAGAAAAGGGCAACTAGAATGATAAAAGGGTTGGAACACTTTCCCTATGAAGAAAGGTTAAAGCACTTGGGGCTTTTTAGCTTGGAGGAGGGGGGGGGAAAGAGCACTAAGAGCATTTAATAGGTAGTTGAGCTGCTCTTTTCTTTTTGGGCCTTGGTTTTGAAAAGGACACTTGATGTAAACCCAGCCTTAAACTATAATTCTTCGCTGGAGGAATATGAGACGGATCAAGCCTTTATCCAGTCGCCATTTCCCAAATGACTTGGCAGAGTTTTAATATATGATTAGGCCTTGTTGGAGTCAAGTGATTGAGGTCTTTCTGAAGTGAAATTCACTCCCAACTTGTTTGGTAGCTAGTTAAGGCACAGAGTTTAATACTGTTTTGTGAAATTGTGCTTTTTTCCCCTTGAGCTGGAGAATCGATGGGAGAGAGAGGATCACAAACGTAATGAACAGAATGTTTTCTGTTTTGTGTTGAGCTTTGCCTCCCTCCTTTTTAAGATCAAGGACACCCTACTGGTGTCTCTCTGAGGTCTACTGACTGCCTTTGATAAATGTGAAAACATTTAAAGGTAAAGGTTCCCTTGCTCGAAAGCCAGTCGAATCCGACTCTAGGGTTGCGGCGCTCATCTCCGTTTCAAAGCCGAAGAGCCAGCGCTGTTCGAACACGTTTCCGTGGTCATGTGACCGGCATGACTAAACACCAAGGCGCACGGAACGCTGTTACCTTCCCACCGAAGTGGTACCTGTTTATCTACTTGCAATTTCTTGCTTTCGAACTGCTAGGCTGGCAGGAGCTGGAACTAGAGACGGGAGCTCACTCCTTCATGCAGCACACTCGGGTCTCGAACTGCTGAACTACCGACCTTCCACAGCCTGCAGTTCAGCGTCTTAACCACTTGAGCCACTGCAGCTCCTCTACTCAAATTTACCTCTACTCAAATTACTAAATGAAAATAAAGTCACCTCTTGGCAAACTCAGCAGCTTTTGTAAAAAATTTTCTTCTGTAATAATACTCTACAAGATGACCTTTAGCGTAGACATTCCCACGATCTGATGCTTGATTCAGACACTCCAAAGCAGCCTTCAAATTTTTACGCACACCATGTCCATAAAGATACATGAGTCCAAGGATGCCCTGGGATTCCAGGCTTCCATTCCCACATGCTTCCGAATGCCAAAAGAATGCCTGCAGGACAGAGGAAGAGGATTTATGCAAGTCATTTAGAACAATTCTTGCTATGCACAGCTTCAGTGTGGTCCAATAGCTATACAGCTGTCTGTGAATGATGCTCAGGAAGAGCCATCTCTAAGTAATCGGGAATGAAACCGTCTTTGTTCATCTGAATACAATGTCCATCATCTGAAACAAAGCTAAGACAATTGACTGAACGGGATATTGTGTACAAGCACAAATATATGTGCATGCACACACGTGTATATACACACAATCCACTACTGCAGTACAGACTGTTAATTTAAGGGTATTGTCTTTTGTCTACTATTATTTTCTGTTCCCAGCCTCGCACGTCCTTCACTTTAGTAATAAATGCAGAACTGTTGAAATGAAGAGATTTAATGCCTCTTCAATGGTTGCATTCATAGCTCAAGACTAGCTGTAAATTATCCAAGAATGATGAGCTTCCCAATTACTAACAAGGTGCTTTAGAACAAGAGTCCAGTGGCACCTTTAAGACCAACAAAGTTTTATTCAAGGTGTGAGCTTTCACGTGCATGCACACTTCGTCAGACGATGAAATGGAATTACATATCATAGTTGTATATATACGAGTGGCTTGTTAAATTAGCATGCAAAACAGTAAGGACAGTTTTTTAACAGATCAAAAGAATGATCAACTGGGGGGACGACAACATAGGTAGTAAATACGTTGGAACAGGAGAGTGATGTGTGATTTGTGAGAATCCCATCCTTAGACCCCATCCATCTCCTTTCAAGCATGGAGGTGAATTTTACAGCATCTTGGCTGTGTAGAGTGTTTTCCTTGTCCCCAAGACAAAGAACTGCATTTAAATCTACCATTCCAAATTACATTACATATTCAATTATATTCTTAATTGCTAAGAGTAGTAATAACATTTTGCTTCAATAAAACATGGAGTTAACTGACAGAATCCTTTTCCTGGGGTACAGTGTTATGTCAGAGATCAACAAGATGGTGCATTGCATTACAATCACTATTATACTATCTGAAAAAAAGAAAAGAAAAACATCAAAATACAGCTTTAGTGACTGCTGTGTCAACTAACAATGAAAAGCTGGCAGCCAGTGCTACAGAATCAAAATAGGAACTGGGGTGTGGAGGGCAATGCATTTCTTTCCATTTGCATTAGAGTCTCAGAAGTGCCATGGCCTAATTTCTCTGAACACAATTTAATTTTTTGAGGGTCTGTTCTTGCAATCTCTCTCCTTGCTCCTGGAAAGTTAAACCAAACTGTCTGCCTTTAAGAGAATGGAGGAAAGCAGATTTGCATAAGTGTGTTTTCTGCTAGAAGGTATCTAGGGAAGCAAAAGTTTTATGAAAAAGGCACTGCTGATCTTGTGTACTGACAGTCAGCCCAGAAAGTACATTTCTTAGCATCCTGAATTCAGATTAGGTGAAGGTTCACTCTGCCCTTGGGCTGGTTGTGAAAACCAAGTCTCTTTCCAAATGCTCTTTAGACATCTAACATATTGGGGGGTCCCCCCCTCCGGTCATCCCAGAATGCATTGGGGGGAGATGCGTGTGCAGAGGCAGCCTTCCCCATGTGTTGCAGGGTGCATCTGGAAGCATATTCCCATCTGCAACACAATGTTCATCTGAATTCTGAATTGGCTTGATGTATCATTTGATGCAAACAGAGAAGAACATCTGAGGCTCCCACATGCAATTACTTGCCCACGATCCCCAGCATATCGCGCCTATCATCTCTGGAAATGATATTTCTTCCCCTAGTGAGAGAACTGTCTCATCTTGAAAGGTACCAAATGCATCAGAACTGTTTTGTTTTATAACTTTTTATTCTATAACATTTGTCACACACAAAACCACCATACAGTTTTGAATATTAACTTTGGAATTTATAACAATAATAACAGCAACAACAGAGGGAAAGGACTGTCATATATACATTATTAATAGAAAGCTAGAAATTTGTATTTTCTCAGAATTGTTCTACTGGATTTTGTACGTTTTTCTACAAATTCAAAGAAGGGGAGCCATTTTTAAAAAATAGGATTGATACATTAGGTTCAGAGCTGTTTTAAAAACGATTTGTTTTTGCGAGTCTCCAGAAGAACCCCCATTTTCAATGCAATTTTAAACAGAGTTATGCCCTTCTGAGTCCATTGAAGTCAATGCACTTAGAAGGCTGTAACTCTGTTTAGGATTATATTCTTGGGATACAAACGAGACATTGCGCAAATTACACTGGTCTTTCCCTTTTTTTGTCTTAACCTTTGTGTTTTGCTTATTATTTTCCTTTGGAATTGGCACCGATCCTTGTCACCTATAAAATATTATAGCCTCTTTTCACCGGAGTATGACATACACTGCAATTTAATCCAAGATTTATAATTAAAGCAAAAAAAATAAAATCCAAAGTAACAAGCAGCGCTACCTTTTTCAGATCCTTGGGATGTGTTGCTGAATACAGCATTCCGAGGGCACTCTGAGCCTTTACACTTGCTTTTGGGTTTCCGTGGTCTGCAGCAATCTGCCATAATCTGGAAAGTGAAGGGAACTTTAAGTGATGTTGCTGGGCTTTTTTCATGAAGACGAGTCTACCTGGCAGCTTCCCAGGTGCCGTAGTGTGAAACGGGAAGTGTGCTGATTAAGACAAAGGACCTACCTGGAAAAAGAGTGCCCCCCAACCCCACCCTCATGGTGACATAAGGAGTTGGATGCAGCAGGACAGTATTTATAGCCCGCCCATCCCACAAGCAGGCTCAGGGCAGGTAGCATCATATCACAATACAATAAATACAATTAAAATTAAACTTAACACACAGCTCCACTGGCACAAGCTGCAGCAGCATACAGTGCTTTAATATGAATTTGAATGAAATAACCACGTGCACCTGGAACAATGGAATGAACAACATGAATTCATTTATTTTGGCATTTAAATTCCATCAAAAGAAATGTATCTTGTCCTATGCCTCGGGCAAGCAAAATACACAGTGGAGCTACAATCACCTTCACTTGGTGCAAGCAGACAGCGCGGAGTAATTGAAGCTCACGCTCAAGGAGGACTGTTGCACATACAGAAATCTTTCCAAGAAGTCAAACAATTTCCCCCTGGAAAGATGTGACTTGATTTGATTTATTTGATCTTTATCCCGCCCTCCCGGCCAAGGCTGGCTCATTCCATGGGCTGTACTTACTCCTGCCAGCACCATGGCTGCACACAGAGAGAGAGAGCCAAATGTCCAGCAAGGTCTGTAGTGTATGCTGACTGCAATGATCACAGGTGTGTTGGACACACATCCAACCAGCTTTAGGACTCCATGTGGATGTGGCCACGTAACAGAGGTGGCCTGCTCAGAAGAAGGGTACCTTTCAGCCTCTTTTTCCAAAATCTCAGCCCCGCATCCTTCCCAGTAAGCTCTGCCAAGGTTGTATGCTGCGGCAAACTTTAAATGTCTTGCCTTGGGAGAATCAGAGCTGATAATCTTCTTCATGTATTCCACTCCTTTCTTCTATAGGCAACAAATGCAGATGCATATTCAAGACTTGACATTTCTAGGCAAAATAATCTGAGATCTTACTGTCCAGGAAGGGGTGTGTGTGTCTCCTTGTCATTCCCTTTCCCGCAACCATTCTTCTTGCTGCTTTTACATGTTGTTAAACAATGTTACATGTGAGTAAGCAATGCAGTTTTAAGTCTCGCGCACACAGGGGGAGAACTCCACTTGCTTCTTGAGAGGGGATGCATGCCAGCCATCGGATCTCCTATAAACCTTCACTATTCAGTGAGGTAAAACAAGCACCTGTTTAGCTGCAAAAATTATCTAAAAGGGAAACATTAATCAGCCGCTCCAGCTAGCACATAGTGCAACCTTCACTGGTCGTTCCTAAGACCAGTGAAAGAAACTTGCGCAAGCATGGCTTTATAACAATAGGGAGTCCAGCTCAGAAATTAAAACTGATTAAAGCAACAGTGGAACCTCTGGCCAGAAACCTCATATCATTCCAGAGGGCTTTTCTGCTAGTGGCAATCTCCACCTTATTCCCAGCATCACTGAACACATGGTCAGTAGGACTGTATATCCTTTTACCTAAAACTCCCAAGACTAACATTAGAAATTTGTTAATACTTGTATTCTGTGATAAAACAAAAAAATATATATGTCATTACTTGATATTTTATTTTGGCTAGTAAAATGGGCAACATTGCATTGAGTACAACCCTGTTTTCTCCTCTCTGCCCCAACTATGCATGTGCCCAGGCAGCACAACAATCCAGTGGGGGAGGACAGTAAGTCTGAGAAACCCACATATCCCCATCCATCCATTTCTATCTGCTCAGTGCTCTAGCCCTCTATATGGTGTACTATGGAGTTGTGGATTTGTCTTGAGGTTGTTGGATTCCACCTTCATTTGATTTCTACTGTTGGTCATTGCACTTAATTATTGCTATTGTGAATGAAGATACATGTACCTCTTGAAAAATGGTATTTTTTCAAAACGGTATGAATCATCTATCAAATTACCGTGGAGAAGAAAAGTGACTCAATTGCCACTTCATTGTGCCTTCTTTGATGCTAATGGACACTTGGCTGCGCCCTTCCTTCCTTCAGCCATTCGTGTCGCATTACTATGTTGATAGGATACTTATGCGTATTATCTAACTTTGATGTTGAACTCTGAAGCTAATTTGGAGAATTGTATGCATTATCTATGTCTTATATGTGTTATGAAGATACTATTTTCTTATTAATATTCCATTTTTCTTGCTATTTTGGAAAGTGATTTTGTGTCTCTGGGGAGTTGTGCTTCCAGTTTTCCTGATCATTGGTTCCTTCCACCTGTATTTTTACTCCAGTGTAAGTTTCAGAGCATAAGCAATCTGGTCTGAGTGAAGAGGAAAATGGAAAGTGACATTAGAGCTGCAGATAGGCTTTCTGTTCTCTCTAATGATGGCCCGTGTACAAGCAGCAGAGAGGGAACAGAGCTACAGGACTATCTGCCATGTGTGGATGTTGTGCCACCCGGACAGGGTCATGCCCATTTTATTTAATCCTTTATAAGATTAGAAGATTTGCTTAGCAGTGATACTGTTTGCACTTAGACATGTGTGCTGAAAATAAGAAAAGTTATTGCTTAAGAAACAGCTAGAACAAAAATAAAGATCTCTCTGCTAGTTGCAACTTACAGGATCTGGTGGGGTCCCCAATCCATCATAATACATCACACCTAACTGATACATGGACTGAAAATCTGTGTCTTTGCTTTGTTCAAACTGCAGTAGTGCATCTTCATACCATCCCTGCACAAGACACAATCAGCAACCAAACACTTCAGATTAAACAACCCAGCAAATCTGGCTACTGAACTTTCAGGCTCAAACTAGGCTATTTTGAAATAAAACATATATCATCCTCTGAACTAAAAACTGGGGAGGGGGGAGTATTTTTTTTTTATTCACTAGGCATCTTGGGAAATGGAAAATAATTCTATCAACAAGAGACAGGGTTGAATAAAATGCCAATAAAGCAATGAGTTGGCTCAGCCTAGCATTTCCACTCAATCTCATCCCGTTCCCCCCAGTACTACAGCCCCCATTTCAGTCGACTAGGAAGCTACTGTAAGTGCTCAGATACAATTGCAAGAAAATCATAAAATAGTGTCATCTAAGTTCACAACAAGGTATGAAAGATTTTTAAAGGTTAGCAAGAGCTGAGGTGGGCACTGCTTTTGACTGGGGCCATGGTACAAGGGAGGGAGCCCCTCTCTCCCCCCAGCTCCTATTAGCCCTGGCACTGAAAAAAATGCAAGTAGTACTGTGTCTGTCCCTACCAGGGTGTCGTGGACCAGCCTCAGCCTGAGGTGCAGCCAGACTCTGACTTGCTGCCTGAGCCCAGCCTGAGTGAGGACCAGTCTGACTTGCAGCCTGACCAGTCTGATTGGCAACTGGAGCCCAGTGAAAGTGAGGACTCCTCAGAAGTCGAGCCTGAGTCCAGCGTGGCAAAAGATGACTTCAGAGTAGAGGACACTCAGGAATTCCAGTCAGATAATACTGAGCCGGCTGAAGTCAGGGAGCAAGGACCTCCGGAGGCACCCGAGACTCCCCCAGATTCCCCCCCCCACAGAAAGAAGAAGGGCTAAGATCAGAAGGCAACTGCAAGAACGCAGACAGAGTAAAAGATTAATGGCCCGCCGAATGCTACAAAATGAGTCCTACTAACTTGCCAGCTGCAGATAGGACTAATTAGGGAAAGGCCACATAAAGCTGGGTGTGAGCTGTTGCCAACTTGTGGAAGCAACACGTCACCTCACAGTGAATCCTGCGACCACAATTCCTGACTCTGCTATAATCCTGTGACTCTTTTGCTTTTGGACTCTCTCTGACTGTAACAACTGACTTTGGACTGTTTGGAATACGCTGTGAACATTCCTTTGACCTGCTCCTGCCTGCGTGACTTGTACTTGGACTTGGAGCCTGCGAGACCAGCTGGGCTACAACACAGGGCTAGCAGCAGCTTGTAGAGGCTGATTTCTTTTGAGAAAAAAGCATGGGAGGGGGTAACGATCTCCCCCCCCAATCCTGAATAAATCAGGCCTCCCCTGGCTGCTTTTTACTCTGAAAATGTACACAGTTGATCTAATCATGGATCTCCCATCTCTCTTCTTATGGTCTCCAGGATTACTTCCCCCTGCCCTGTACGTACTAACATTTTCCAGTGCAATTTCAAAAATTATTTTTAAAAAAAACCAAACTCCAACCTCTTCAAAATACAGCTGCCCTTTTAGAAAGTATGCCAGAGGTTCTCCAGCATTAATCTTCTTGTCCACAAGCTCTTCAGCCCTTGCAACCAGAAAGGTATGGCTGTAACTCTCTGTGTAGAAGAGGGAAAAAAAAGTAGCACCTGCTCCCACAACTTTACAACAGTCGAAGTTATATGAACCATTTGTTACAAGATGAACCATGCCCCAAAGTCCTCTTACCCTGGCACTTTCTACGTGCTTCTTGCTAAGTACAACTTGGTAGGGGCCGATGGGCAACAGCTGCCCAAGGCCCCATACAGGGGACTCCAACCACCAACAGAGGGCAAAAAAGAGAAAAACCCAGCTTCCACTGCCACCACCTGCACCTGTCCCACCTGGGGCGTGGGCAGCTGGCTCAGCAACAGCCACTTGTGCTCACTCCATCCAGGTTTCAGGCAACCAGCTTCCAGCAATGTCTCCTGCTCTTCTCACACAGGGTCAGGGCCACCCCTTGCTTAGCTCCCGGGCAGGGGGAGAGCAGTGGGGCGTGGCAGAGATTCCGAGTCCCCATTCTGGATTTTTGCCAAGGGCTCCAGAAACACTAAGACAACCATGCAAGTTGGGTTTCCCCCCCTCAAATGATCATGCTGCCAAAGAAAATAGTCCCAGTCCAAAGACTGTTTTTGTGCAGCATGGTATCTTTAAGTACCAGCTGAATGAGCATAATCAGCTTTGATAGTGCTGAAGGAGGCCAGAATGGAGACTCTTTATTCTTGCAGATCATGGTGCTCAGCATTGTCACAGTAGACTACAGCTAGAATAAGTATATGAGCCAAATCCAGCACTGCATCCTTGTGTACTGGACGAAGGATTGGTTTTTTAAAAAAATCCTTATACTTCCGCATGTGGGGAAACCATTCCTGCAACAGGATCCATACACAGTGGATTACCTTTGTTGGGTCATTGTACATGCTTAACTTGCTTTAAAATTTTCTTGGAAAGCAAACCTGAGAGCATTTACAATGAAGAACTCTAGGTACTTTGAGGTTCTTCTCCCACCTCTGTTGTCTGATGGGGCACATTGGCAATTGGTACTGATGTAAAGGAACTGCATTTCACTATTGGAAACCAGAGGTGCTCTTACTCAACCTGGGGTGTTACATTACAATCTGGCATTACCACCTTTACGTCTGTTCATTCAGGTCCTTTGATTTCATAAACAAATCCTATGAAATATGTTACATTTCACCTGTATCGAATCAATATTTTCTTTTGGGGGGTACTGTGAAAGCGTGAATAAGGATTCACTTTCACTGTGCATTAAACTGTACAACAGACAAGATTGAGAAAAACAAATTGTACATCTTGATATCAGAGATCAGACAACCACTCTGATTTAATGTATCAAAAACAAGACAGACTTCGGTGTGAATACAATGGGGAAAATAAAATAAGCTCACCGAAGAAAACTGACTTTAAGACACTTGGTTGTACTTTTTATAATATTTATAATGCAAATTTCTTATGTTACACAACAATCATACACGCTGATCTGTATGGATGCTCCTACTGCAAAACTGAGCACTGAGGCAGTGGCCGTGTTAAAGCAATGTGTCCGGTTCCATGCATCCAATGCTAAACCAAGCATCATCAGCAATAAAATGTTAGGCTAAAGATCTAAGATGTTTTTCCTGGGTCTTCCACAATGTTACTACATTGTCATTACTTTGTGAGCTGCCTCGTGCAGGTCTCTGGAGAGCGGTACGCACAATGGAAGTAGACTCACTTCCATAAACATGGATCTGGCCCGTTCACACACAAACCAGGAGAGTGGGAAATTTAAAGGGACACAGCAGCAGGCAGACTGGGGTGCTGTACCCTGTCACTTTTACCCCTCTCATCTTGTCACTTTTCTCCCAGCTGGGCTCTGATATTGGAAATGAGCCTAAGAGAAAGGATTCAGGGGAGGAGCTGTGGAGAGAAAGGACCCGGGCAGGGAGGGGGCTTCAGCAGTTCCTCACCACCATTCATCTCTTCAGCTCTTTAAATCACCCCCTCCACTTTACAATCCAGTGGGGCAAACAAATTTAATTTGGGCCTCAGTTCTTTAAGCTGCAGAGTTACCTGGGATGCTTGTTAAAATCAGCCAGAAGAAGAAGAAGAAGGAGAAGAAGAAGGAGAAGAAGAAGGAGAAGAAGGGGAAGAAGGAGAAGAAGAGAAGAAGAAAAGAAGAAGAAGAAGAAGAAAAGAAGAAGAAGAAAAGAAGAAGAAGAAGAGGAGGAGGAGGAGGAGGGGGAGGAGATTGGATTTATACCCCGCCCTTCACTCGGAGTCTCAGAGCGGCTTACAAACTCATTTCCCTTCCCCTCCCCACAACAGACACCCTGTGAGGCGGGTGGGGCTGAGAGAACTCTGACACAAACTGTTCTTTTTCAAGAACAGCTGTGCCAGAGCTTGTGACTGACCCAAGGTCACATCAGCAGGTGCAAGTGGAGGAGTGGGGAATCAAACCCGGTTCTCCCAGATTAGAGTCCGCACACTTAACCACTACACCAAACTGTGTTAAGAGAGTGTTTCCCCATAAAAGGCTTCTTCACCCAAGAATTTGATTGATTTTATTGATTTAGAAAATCAAATTCTCCCTTTTACATAAGATTCCCTGCAGACATTGCACTGGGCTGCTAGAAGGAATGAGAGTCTTGCATGCACGTTTCCCCCACTCCCACTGCTCAAAGGATGCCAAGTTTGGCTTCTTCTGAATTCTACAAATGTACAGTGTGAGGGACATGAGAGGAAGAACTGGGGATCCTGGGTGGTGTCCTGTGTACTTACGTGGGCAAGTTACCCATTTGATTGCTTCTGATTCAACACTGTGGATCTTTGAAATGGTTCGGAGGACGGTCTCGGAGCCACTTTCCTGGGGGAGAGGCTCACTAGTCAGCTTCATTTCTTCCTTTCAAGTTCTCCTTCTCTGTAATAAACGAATAAAGGCAGGAGTAATGTGTCCGAATGTAAGAGATTATGAGGGCCACACAGAAATTCTTACTTTGTCTCTTCCACTACCTCTCCCAACCCAAAATGTCTCTTTTTCAGGCTCTCTTCTTAAGAGGGGCGTCCTATGTGGATTTTTCACATTACTCCCACTCCCCTTTGCAGGTCAGTACAGCCCCGTATACTCCTACCTTTCAAGAGTCTCTTGTTATGAGGGTCATTCTGCACTTGGTCCCATTTTGTGCAGTTTGCTAATGCTGAGTGGCTTGACTGGAGAGATTAGTAGCTGGCACTTTTCAAAATGTGGGAGGCTTGAAACCTCTGCGTACCTCTTGAAAAACATCAGTGTGCGCCTTTTGAAGACCGGAGGCCCCTCACATTTCAAGGCACTTGAGAACTATTATGGACAAGGAGAAGCAACAGCCGCACTTTCCCTCCCTGAGATCATAGAATCAAAGAATCATAGAACGTTAGAGTTGGAAGGGACCTTGCAGGTCATCTAGTCCAACCCCCTGCACTCTGCAGGAGCATAGCCGAGAGATAGCCCTACAACATACCTGAAAGACGGTCGTCCAGCCTCCGCTTGAAAATATCCAGCAAAGGAGCATCCACCATCTCCCGAGGCAGACTGTTCCACTGCTCAACCACTCTTACAGTTAGGAAGTTTTTCCTGATATTTAGCCGGTAACGACTCCCTTGTAATTTCCACCCATTAGACCTAGTCTTGCACTCCGGAGCAAGAGAGAATAGATCTGCTCCAGTTTGGTGTAGTGCCAGTTTGATGTAGTGGTTAAGTGTGCGGACTCTAATCTGGGAGAACCGGGTTTGATTCCCCACTCCTCCACTTGCACCTGGCTGGATGACCTTGGGCAAGCCATAGTTCTGATAAGAGCTGTTCTTGAAAAAGAGCAGTTTCTGTCAGAGCTCTCTCAGCACCACCCATCTCACAGGGTGTCTGTTGTGGGGAGGGGAAGGGAAAGGAGTTTGTAAGCTGCTCTGAGACTCCCTTGGGTAGTGAAGGGCGGGGTATAAATCCAATCTCCTCCTCCTCCTCCTCCTCCTCCTCCTCCTCCTCCTCTTCTTCTTCTTCTTCTTCTTCTTCTTCTTCTTCTTCTTCTTCTTCTTCTTCTTCTTCTTCTTCTTTCTTCCATCTTCTACATGACAGCCCTTCAAATACTTGAAGACTGCAATCATGTCCCTTCTAAGCCTTCTCTTTCCCAGGCTAAACATACCCAACTCTTTCAGCCTTTCTTCATAAGACTTGGATTCAAGCCCTCCCACCATCCTGGTTGCCCTCTTCTGGACACGCTCAAGCTTGTCAACATGTCTTGTATTTTTTCATTCCTGGAGCCAAGTGTTTTCAAAAGTGGAGAGGCTGCAACCTGCTGTCCCCTTGCTTGGGCTCTGGCATTATTAGTATGACAGCACGGCAGTTGTCAAACTGGCTTAGTCAAAGGAAAACAGTCTCAATCACCCCCACCCCTCAAGTTTCCTGACCACATTATGCTGGCAACCAGCCTTCAGACAAGATTCATCATCCTGACTGGCACAAAGAGCTGCAAAGGCTGTGACTCCCAATGCTCGCAGATTGAGAGAGCTTTCCCTCAGCTTAGGGAATTTTTTTCTCAAAGGAGGCAGGACCAATGGGGGGCACTTGACCTGGGCCTCAAGCTCAAAGGGGGAGGGGCTCTGATTTAAGCACAGCGCATGTGTTTTTTTGGCATTCGATAAGTTTCACAACTTGTGTTTATACATACTGTGTGCCATCATTGTTAATTTTTTATTATGGCCAGGAGGTCACAAAAGCCAAAAGTGGCCAGGGCCTCTCTGGACCTCAGAGAAAACCTGGGAAGACTAGAAAGAGAGAAAATGTTTACAACCTATCAAGCTGGTAGCAGCCTAGTTTTGCCAACTTCGAGATACTCTTCCTTCCGTGTATACTGTTTCCAAAGTGAGGAAGGGCACTCTCCTATCACAATGCCTGGTGTTTCCCTCCATACACTAAGATGTCCTTAGAGGCTGAAATGTAATAAGGCTTGCCCTGGTCATTCCATGATGCCTCTGGTGGAGTTTTTAGTACATAGAAATCTGGAAAGAAAACTGGTTTGAGAAAGGGAAATCTTTGTATGCATGTCAGAGGGATTTTTTTTTAATGAAGCAAAACAGAACTTGAGTCTAGTGGCATCGGAAAAAGTACCAAAACGTTTTCCAGAATAATTTTTTTGCAAGTCAGAGCTCACTGCTGAGTCACAAAAGCTGACGCTGGAACGCATTTTCTTAGTCTTTAAGATGCTACTGGACTCCTGCTTTATTTTGCAGCTAACACAGCTACCCATCTGGAATTCTCATTTGTAAAAGCAGGGTCTCCTTGGAGAAGATGCTCCATTGACTTCCTCTTTGTCACAGTAATCCCTGTAAGCTGAGCGAGCAATGATAACAGCCTCGACCAGAACCAGAAGGACACCCATTTAATAATATAATATATGCCACAGAGCTGCAAAGTATAAATATATTAACTCAGTGGAATATGCGCTGCTCCATCACCACTCCCTATCCCAATGGGAAGTTGCAGGACAAATGAAGACGGATTTGTGATTAATTTTTTAACCAGAACAACCAGGGATCAAGTCCACTTTAACACGACAGAGACTTTGCAAATTGCAAAGATTGCAACTTCCCCCTGATCATGCACAGAGTGCATTTTTTAATCATCAATACTACACTAAGTGATTCTGCACGTCCAGGATCGGGGCTCAGAATTTCCAGGTCAGTTTGAGCCCCTCCCCCACCTCGATTGAAAATTATATTAAAAATTTTACTCGCGTGGAAAAAAGGATGGATGTGCCCGCCCAATTACGTTCCCCCGGTAGGGAGCGCGCGTGACTCGCTCAATTCACCTTCGGTTTCCATCGCAATCTTCTCCGTCTTCCAAAATAGTTCGAGTTGTGAGACGCCAACTTCGGGACAGCTCCGCGTTGCTTAGCAACGGCGCCTACCGGCTCCTGAAACGCCCACTCAATGCCCCGCCCCTTCTTTCTACCTCCAATCCCGAGGGAGTTAAGAGAGAAGCACCCGCGTATTGGTGGAAGGGCATTGAGCGGCATTGTTAGCTCTGAAAGAGGCGGGGCAAATCCTGAGATGTCACAAACTGTGCGGGAGGCGGCATGTGGCGGTGCTGCGTAGTGGTTGAAGTGTCAGAACGGGCGCCCAAGTTCAAGTTCTCGCTCTTGCAGAGAACTCGCTGGGTGATCTTGGGGCTGTCACTCCTCACCAACCGAGGTTTTACTGCTCCAGGGATTAAAAATAAGGGGGGGAAGAAGATTATCAGTCGTGGCTCACCCAGCTGTAGTGCTGCAGGAGCTACCTGTGAAGGGCAGAAATCTAACTGCTTTTCAGTCTCTGCTTAGCAGCAGAAGGGAGCACCCGTTATTGTGCATTGAATGCTCAGCCGCTCCCGAGGTTCAGCTCCGGCTGCAGCCTCTGGGGTTGCACCCGCGCCCATCATTCCAATCTGACCCAGATTAGAGGAGAGTTTTATTGACCTCCCTCCCTGCACAAGCACTAACTCTTTGTTTGTGTTTTTTTCAAGGAATTAATGCCAGATAAGTATCAAAGGCAGGAACGCCCCATGTGCCGAGTTTTATCTTCCCACAGCCCTTCACTGCACAGCAAAACTTGAGCAAAAGCGGAATTTTCAGGCAAATTCTATTCCCCTAGCTTTTCTTGGGAAAGCTTTTCTTTCTTTTAAAATGCATTTTAATCCCAATTTCTCAGGTGATCACATTATCCTAAATAAGGCCACCCCCCTTCATCATGAGTAATAATCACAGGCCCGTAGCTGCAGTGGGGCATCTCGGGGCTAGGCCCCCTGACTTCCCATCCAGCCCAGGGTCCCCAAGCAGCAGCAGGTGCAGGGAAGGAGCCAGGTATTCCTTTAATTCGATTAGCCAGTGCCCCCTAAGAAATTTAAATGCCCCTTGACTTAAAAAATCCTGGCTAGGGGCCTGAATACTTATTGTATGGTAGTGTGTTGTATAGCCAGGAGATCTGAGGATTGTCTGGCAGCCAAAGTTCTAACTCTTTAGCATTATGCACCACAAAGTGGTGAGCTAGACTTGTTAGTGGGGTGAGAGAGCTCTGAGAGAACTGACTGGCCCAAGGTCACCCAGCTGGCTTCATGTGGAGGAGTGGGGGACCAAACCCTGTTCTCCAGATTAGAGTCCTGCCACTCTTAACCACTACAACAAGTAATAATGAGTTTGAAAGACTATCAGTAGCAGTAGTTTTTTGTATCATCAGGCAAATTGCTTTTTAAAATTTTCTTTAAAGGCAAAGATGCACCACAGGCCAGGATGTGTAGAAAGATGAGCCTGTGGACTAGTAACATTTGTGCATGTATTTTCAAGACTGGTTCAGAAGGAACTTTTTGACACTGAACAAAGAAACAATGCTATGGCATCACTATGTGCTGTACGGAGAGTGTTACATGAGCCTTTGTACCTTGCTGCTGGGTGCAGATTTAGTGCTAAATTAAAAAACTTTATTGCTTCGTGCTCGGGCTTAATATAAATGTATCTTGAGCATATGTATTAAAATGTGTGTGACTGTATGCCGTGCAAGAGAATCTTGATTGCTATATTAATCTGAGTTGCTATGCTAACCACTGTACAAGTAGGTTCTGGAAGCATCCCTTTTGTAGAAGCAAAAGCTGTTCTGAAGTGTTCTTGTTCCAATTTCAGTAAGGCAAATCAGCATTTCAGGAAAGCCAAATCTGGGGACAGCTCTACACAATGATTCTTCTCCAAGTGACTTTGAATTTGTATTATGTTGCATTCTGTCAGTTTCCCAAAAGAGGAAAGACTGTGGAGGCTTTTAGAGAAGGGAAAGAAGAAATAGTGGGGGAAGAGAAAATGAGATGTCTCCCCCCAAACCCTTGTGGGTCCCCCAGTTGTCTCATATTAAACCAAGACATATCCTTAT